GAACTGCAATATATGAGTTTCGACAAACCTAATGTCTTGACAATATTGATTTTGCCAATTAAAGTTAGCTTTCTTTTTTTCCAGTTGTTGAGTGTTTTTTCTAAAGAACAAACCTTTTCTTCAAAATTAAGGGTGTTGGCTTGCTTTAAGTCATAGGAAAAGTGTATACCAAGGGCATAGACTGGTTCTTGGGGCCATTTAAAACCAAACGGCTTGTCTTTGCGCGACCTCCAACATCCTAACCACAACGCTTCGGTTTTGTTTGTGTTAATTTCGAGACCACTGATCTGCTTGAATTTGTCTAAATGTTTTAGTAATTGTGTGACAGAATCAAGATCTCGCACCAAAACGGTGGTATCGTCTGCGTATTGGGTTATCTTATCTTAACAATTTTTCTGTGCAATGCTCGCTCTGTGATTTCTACGTGTCTCTTCTTCTTATGAACCTTTTTGCTCTTCCTTTTGAGAAGTTAAGTACGCGTTTACAACTGTAAGGGCGCCTGCAGAGGCAGGATTAGGTGTGTAGGCATTACGCCGCCGTTTCCGTACGATTAGCAACACTGAACAACAACTTTATTGCCTTTATCTTCGACATGAAGATTTCAGTACCAAAACAATGACAAATGAAAAAAGCAAAATAAAAGTTAAGAAAGAAAGGAACAATTGAATGTTATCATAAAAAGAAAAATTACTTGGCTATGTACGGCTTCTACGCTTCTCATATGCATGGTAAGAAAGTTTAATTAGAGATCGGATGCATAACAATTTAGAATATTTTCAATATAAGAGGAACTGAGATTTATGATGTTTTCATCGCACATGGACATGATATATAAAAATAGTGCCTTGCAAGACATATTCGTAAAATTACTGTTTATCGAGTGTAGGCCCTCCAAGAAGATACCGCTTATATGAGAAAGTGATGAGTGGGTACATTTCAACAAATAGTAGATTAGCAGAGGTGATTAACCCACAATCTTATGATGTTAGAAAACCCCGCACTCAAAGATGCTCACCTACTCCGAAGTAGAACAAACCAATCCCGACTCCAGCAGCAAAAAGCATTGTGAAGTATGATAGGTCATTGAATTCTGGTTTGTCGTCAGGTTTTCCAAGCTTCATATTTCCATACTTGGAAAAGTACAGGACAATGATGAAAACTGCCCAGACATCTTGGGTACCAATATACATCCACGTGAAAACCTCTGTAATCCACAGCATCCAACTGCCCATCTCTTTGTTGGCTACATCGGCTTGCACTGCGCACCAGATAACGAAACCCCAGATGATGGCGGCGGAGATGATCGTCACCACTGGGTTGAAGCGCAGGAATATACCGATGTCTGTGTTCCCAATTCTGCCCCATTTCCAGTTGACTCTAAACCAGCGACACCTCTCCGTTGCGTTTTCGTCTACCTCCATTTTCTCTCACCGCAAACAAGAGAAGCTTAATGAGCCGAGTTAAAATCCTGTGGAGGTTTAAATAAGGTATGCAAAACAAGAAGAATGCTTAGTGAATCAGTGAAGCATGCATTCTTAACTTAATATCAATTATTGAAGCCAATGTCACCCATCGACAAAAGAAGCCTTGGCATTTCGGCTTTCTTTCTAGTTTTCTTACAACTCTTCATCTACCCAGTAAAAATACCACCCAAGTTTACGTCAACTACAAGTACGCAGCATGTCAAAACGGTCAATTACTGTCGGTATAACGCCTCCAGCGTAATTATCAGCTATGAACAGTTCGTGTCTGTGGATTCATTTCGCATTTCGTTCAACTTGTTATTTATCTAAATTACAGAAGATAACGTCTGGCACAGGTTTTAACTTAACAGTTGGAATTGTCTATCTCTGCCAGCGTGTAGTCGACTTGGGTGGATTAGCTTAAAGGGCTTCTTTGCAAATGCGAGCATGACATATGTGCAGCCAGAATTCAGGCTGATTAAGAACTAGGGGCACTGGAGTGTGCCTCCAACTGTATAACCAGAAAAAAAAGTATGTAAAGAGAACTAGAGACGGATTCAGTTTAAAAGATATAGTGGAACTGGTTTGTTAAAAATACCTCAAAGAAAACAGGAGCGTCAGTTTTTATTAACAATAGAACAAAAATAAAGAGGCCGAATTCTAAAGAGAGTTAAATCTCTTGTGTGTACAATCAACTAAGCTTTCAGCTAATCTCAGCACGTTCGTCTTACATACATGTAGGGAAGGAGTTATCGAATTTAAAAGTGCATCGTTACAGCCCCTACCCTAGAAGTCCAACTATATTGATTGCGGAGGGGTTTGTGGTCTAGAATAGGGCATCATTTTCTAAGGAACTGATTAACTGGTTGACTATTTTTGAAAGACACCGGTAATTGACTCTCAAAATAATAAACTCGGGAAATTTAAATGTCCCCGCAATTCAGTTTCATAGCAAGAAAACGTCTATACAAGACTATCATTGAGATCACTCCTGCATGATTTTGTTAATTTTGACTCCAGGATAGCGAGGGTTTTTGGGAGTTTAGTCTAGTATAGGATAGCAAAGCAACTTCAGCTAAACTAGATGTGGTATAGGCTAAGGATTCCGGAGTCCCAGCGGCCTATCGTCACCGAAAATTCCTAAAGAAACTCCCGGTATTGAATCCCTTCGCCTCTATTTGGTCAGCTGCAATAAACATTTGCCTCATATCATTGGTTTTAACCCATAAACTACTACAAGAGTGATCGGCATCAAATTTCTCTTGTAATATCAATGCTTCGTAATACAGATAAGTGACAAGAATTAGGAAGATGATCACCTAAGATGTATCAGCAACTTCTCCCCGCTATTTCTATAGGAAACTTATAAGGGAAGAAAATAAGAATTTTGATATTGGGGCTTAAGGGTTTGATCCATCAATCAATCAACTTTATTGAGATGTTAAAAATAAAAATACACGCAATGCATGAAAAGCCGCCGGTGGTTATCATGCTTTGCGAGGCGGTTCGAGAAAAGAAGTAGAAAGAAATACAAAGTAATCTTCATAGAACTCGTAGATGTTTTCTAGCTTTTTATATTGACCTCAATCTCATAGTCTCCCATTCATACGGTCTTAGTTCTCCGGCACACGTTCCTGGTGCAGTAACACGTGATGGAAGCCCAAAGAACGTCTGCGTAGGAGGATTAAATGTCTAATCACAAACGGAAAAATATTTGCAATGAATTTTATTCAGTTAAAAAAACAGATTTGATCAACCCAAACCAACTGTTGGTTCTGTTTTTTCAGTCCGGAGCCAATGAACACTGTTTATTGAGGCAACTTCAGTAAACACGCATAATTCTGCCTTAATCTTACGTAATTGCGGCGTCAACACTTTCAGTACCTGGAAAGTGATGCACTGTGCGTAATTGTTTACAAACTAATACGTCCTGTTACTAGAGTAAACGTTTTAATACTTGTGATATGTTTAGCCGTAGTGGTGACTTATTTTAGACGTAACTTTTAATTTAATTGATTCAGTGTACTCATCAAGTTATATATGTAAATCCATTTTTTTTCTCATGGCCACACTTAAATTGAAATCTCTCTTTGTTGTGTGGCCCTTGCCATTGTTTTCCTTTGGTTGGTGAAAGTGTTGTAAATTAATTAATTAATTGAACTAAAGCCAAAATAGCCGATGGTGGCGACGAGGAGAGTACCCATTACTGACGCAAGATGGGTTTTTTTATCGCTTCGTTGCGGAAGCGTCGCAGCTAGAAAAACTTCTGGTGCCGGGCACGATTTACCGTTTTCGTTCAACTTTGATCTTTTTCTTTGGATTGCTTTTTAACCAATCAGATCGCAAGTTTTTAACTTTAATCACATGGTCAGCGCTGTGGGTCAGGCACGTGAAAAATGACATGATCAAAGTCTGTGTAGTCCAAAGTATGCATTAATTTATTTTAGCCGTGCTTATGATTGGCTCAGCCCTAAAAAAGAAATAACGCTCTGGTAGTACAGTGTTTTTGCTTAGGACTTGACTGAAACTGGAAGCGGCGCCTGAGAAATCTCCTACACCAAGTGTAGCTGGCATGTTAGTAAGCATCAGGTTTTGACATGAATGCTTCTGCGCGAAAACTGCTTGCGTGCGCGTTTTAGAAAGTCTGGAATTACTCCTTCCCGGTCTACCGCGTCTCATTTAAAAGCGTAGTGTTCTATTCGAGTCCTAATACCAAATCAACCGTTTTCATTTCTTTATGGATGGCAAGTCCACGTTCCACGTTTTTACATGCTATCCTGCGCTGTGGCCGTGGAGCGCAAACGTTTTTGTAAGCACGCCGGCCGCGGCGCAAGTGTATTGCAAAACCATCATTGGTAATTTTTTTGGTTCTAGAGACGCCTACACAGTCACTGCCATTTTATTTTATTCGAACTCGAGAGTTTAAGTTTTATATCAAACAGTCTCTTTCGCAGTAGCCTGTGTATCAGGCCTTCCGAAGGGGCGAAGGGAGACGGGGTTTTAGATGGGGGAGATCTCTATGTCGTCACGCACTGTTGGGAGGAGCGCTGCGTTATGACCACACAAAGAATCCGCGAAGGAGACTATATATCAAAAGGCTCTGGCCGCGCTGAAAGTAAGGGAATCGTTTCTCATATAAATGGGGTTTTATTCGAAGTTTTAACTTGAAACGTCAATAGCAGAATCGTCAGCGACCCATCTTCGTCTTTTTCAGTTGATTCTCGGTGACATTTGAAATGTGTTTTCTGCGTATACTTTTTGAAATAACTATTAAATGAACTCTTTACATGAACATTGCAAAGAAAGTAAATGCTTGCAAGAACACTAAGCTCTATTTTTCTAAGTCTTGATTAACCTGCATAAATGTCATGTGGTATAAAAAACTTGTATCCTAAACAAATTTCGATTATAAAATTAACCCAGCCAGTAAATAAGTTCTGGATACCAAAATTAACTAGAAGCCCTAAAGCTTTTAGCTTAAATGATTTCAGTTTTCTTCCAGTACGAATCTCCTGACGTGGTGATATCACCATCCGCTCCAGGGTTGAGATGACCGCCACGCGAAGAGAGATCGTGCATGGATATTGTTGGCGTTCCATATCCATTTTCCGGTAGGTGCCTTTTGCCGTCCACAGCATAGTGGTGATTCACTGGCGGCTCTGGGTGGTAGTTGCGTTTGCCTAAATCGTAGTCGTGTTCCATGTGGTGTTCCATCTGGAAGGCTGCAAACGGGTACAAGAGCATCACTGCGAAGAAATCCTCCGCTGCGTTGCCATAGATGTTGTACTTTAGGCGAATGCTATACCGGATGGATGTTCCGTAGGCGAAAAATATGAAAAGCACAGTCCAAGCAACGTAGGATATGGCATCTACCAGGGGTTCCAGTGTCATCAGAATGATCCATAGGTAAAAGGGAAATGCTGATATCAGCCAGTATACCCATCGACTATTCTTCATACCACCAAGTTTGTAGGCAGCATTTCCCATTGAGTACCATGGTGCAATAACGGCCAAGAGGATTTTCCCGACCATACTTTTATTTGGGCTGCTTAAGACATCTAAAAGACCGGTATTGAACTGTGGGCCATGTGGATCAAGGTCACCTGCTTCCATCTTCACTGCTCGCCACAACGCCACACACATCATGCACAACAATATGGTGTAGGGAACACCTGAAGCAATTGACATAGACTGTAGTGCTACAAGTCCCTCTTCGCCCCCAGCATTTAGAAGAGCCGTTGCTGTAGCGCCCTCTGTCAGTGCCCAGAAGACTCGCTGCGAGACAGGAGGCTCTGGGTCGCCATTGGCTGACAGACAGTCGATGACGAGGGAACCACTATCAGAACTGGTGACGAAGTAAAGAATGATACTGATGAGTGAGATCACTTGTAGGAATCTCCCAAGGTCGCCGTACTGCTCCATGACATCAAACCACATGTCGTTCTTCCCTCTGCAGGATAAACGGTACAGGCCATTGTATGACTTTGTCGAAGTTGCCCCTCCCAGAATGGACTCGCAGGTGATGTTATGAAGGGCAGCATCTCGCTCCATTTTCAAGCCGGCACTTCCAAAAATACAAAACCACAGGAAGGCGTAAACTATGGGTGCTGTCATTGTGCCGTGGATGAACTGTCGGATGGTTCTTCCCTTGGAGATCTTGGCAATGAACATGCCGACAAACGGAGACCAGGCTATCCACCATCCCCAGTAGAAGATTGTCCAGTCATTCATCCATCGCTGAGCCTGCTTCCCGTCTGGTGCATTTCCCAATTGTGCGAATGCATCCGTGTGAAAACCAATCTGGATGATCCACTGAATGTAGTACCCGATGCTTTGCACATAAACATTTAATGCATGCCAGGTGTTATCAGCAAAAATGCCAATCATCATGATGAACATGCCCAGGCTGAAACAGATCTCGCTAAGTCGGCGGATTCCAATCTTCAAGCCGCTCACCACTGAAACTGTGGCACACGCCGTCACGGCCCAAATGATGATGATCTGGTTTTTGACCGAGTAATCAATCGACGGATTTAGACGCTTGAAGCCACCATTCATTTGCATGACTCCAACACCAAGACTAGTGCATACGCCAAACATAGTGCACACCACAGAAAATATATCTACAGCATCGCCCATCCATCCGTAGATCTTGTCACCAATCAGAGGGTAAAAGCAGGAGCGAACGGTCATGGGAAGACCTTTTCTGTAACCTACAAAGGCAAGAAGGAGGCCAACCACTACGTAGACAATCCATCCGTGAATTCCCCAGTGGAATAGTGTCACGTTGATGGCATCCTGGGCACGCTGATTGTCGGAGTATCTGAATTTAAATGCAAAGAGAGAGAAAAACGAATTTCTAGAGTTGGTAGTGGACTCAGAAGGGTTCTTTGTGGTGAAAACGTTTCAAGAAGTGTTCAAACTGTCCCCCATCAGAATGAAAATATACAAACTAAATTAGTTGGTTTGATGGTTAGAGATTGATTGATAGGCCTGAGGTGTGTGGCGTATAATCTTCAGATTTACAATTGGTAATTAAAGTTAGTGAAGAAGAGTGAACTTTAATAGCTTCAAAATATCACGAAAAATAGCCGAAAAATCTTTCCAAAAATTCGATAAAAATTCAATTTTTTTCTAGAAATCCCTTGAAAGAGCGGGTAACTTGTGGTGACAATTCTTGGAATTTTGACTGATTGACAGAGATGCAAGGAATGCTTGATTCAGGAAAAGCTGGCCTCAAAACTTTGCAGACAAAGGCTTCAGGATCGCTTGTAAGGAAACTTTTGAAAGCTAAGGCTTTTTGTTTCAAAGAAACATGAAATCTTGAAAATTTCAGTCCAGAATCCCTAAAAATCTCTTCAAATTTGTAGAAAACCTGTCCTTTTCAAAAATTACCGCGAAGCTCTAAAAAAACTGAAATAAAGTCCGGATTTTTGGAACTGAGGCTAGTCAGGTAAGAGTGAGAATATCCTCTATTCTCAATGGTGCGTACTACATGCAGAATGTTAATATTTACCTATCCCAGTAGCGATTCCCGTTTTTGCCAGGTTCATAGTGCCAAATCGGTTCAGCTGAAAAGATAGAGAGTCAGGGTTAGAAGGATAACTAGAGAGAAATAAGTGCTCTCTGGGAAGTGGCTTTGATCATTGGCCTGTCAGAGGGAAATGTTTGCGAAAAATATATTCAACGGATTAGGTCAGAAACGTTTCTGCACATCCGTGACAGTATGAAGGTTTTCTCTGTCTCGTTCCTCGGCCTATTTAAACGGGTTATGTCTTTAGGATATTGCTGGTTTAGGTCAATTCCGTGCTTTAGTCAGTACTAAATACCTTAAACGGAAACCTTGCACAAAATGCGCTTGTACCGTTAAGAAGGTTTTATCATGTATCAAACAAAGGGTACTAGCCATGGTAATGTTTTTGAGTTTTGCAGCAATCCATGTCCATCCTTGCCATCTGTAGCAACAGACGAGAGGAAACAGTTTCAATATCGAAATGTGGTCTTACATAGCAAAACTGTACCGTTATTTTTGGAATTCAATTGGTGCAAAGACACGTTTGAAAAGCTTTTTAAAAAGGTAACAAATAGTGTGTCATAGCCTTGCCTTTAAAGCTGAATAAATATATCGAATTATTTTAGTTGTGTAGCTAATCAGCCAGCCAGAAGAAACAACGGAATCACTGTTCTTGTGTTTTTTTTAGTTCTTCTGCCCGTTTTTTTTTGTTTTGTTTTGTTTTTTTTCTAATGGTAATTTTATTCTATTTTTTGTAACAAAGATTGGCCCTTTAGAATTTATTTGGTTTAATTTGCCAAATGCGCTATTGAACTTTTAGTGAACAAATTACTTGCAAAATGACAAAATCACAGCTTGTCCAACAGATATACCTCTCAAGCGTTATATCAAACGTTACAATCTACAAAACCCACAACGTAATCCGTTTTACATGTAATCCGTTTTTTTCAATTTTATACGTCCGTGCCTTCTTTTGTCTTTGCCTTGTTATTTATACCTTATTGTAATGTTTTGAGTGGGCTATTTTTGTGTTTCAACTCAATTTGGTAGCAGTTCCTACTGTTTGAAACTTCATAAATTTCATTGCACAGCTCCTTTAAATTCATTTCATTGATGATGCTTAAGTGTTAGAAAGGTATAACTATAAAATTACTTTAGCCCATTTCTACAAGCACCCTTCCCCTTTAAAATCGCACTTCATTGTTCTACAGCCTCTCACGCTAAACATCGGTTTATTTTTCAGCAATCACGCTGTCTTTTCATTCCTTTTATGTTATTTTTATAAATCAGTGTGCAAGACTATGGTTGACTGAACCGCCCTTAATTATTGATAAGTTGCCAAACTGGTTGAACAGTCTGAGAGCTTGTGGCCTAGTTTAACCTGTAGAATTTCCTGAACTTGAAGGTGTGCTTTGACTTAATTTCCTTCTCTGCGACTACTAAAATGAATTGCTTCCTTTTGGTAGTGTATAGTTAAAGTGAACTCGTTCGTATGTACGAATTAGGACATTCTGTCTAACGGCCTAAAAGTATGCAAATATTTGGACACCATGAAATTAACTGCCGACTGCTGCACACTCGATTAAACAGTGATATTGGTGGTTAGCCACGGAATGCTAAACAGCCTCTAACTTGTATGAACTGTCGACACTTCTTTATATTTTTTTAGCCAACCTTAATAGCATACTATAGTACTAAATCTTTCCAATGACTTCTTTTTTTTCAATGTCATGTGCAATGTTCTCCCAAATTTCTTTAGCACTGTTATATCTTTCTTTAGATCTTATTTTGTTTGTGTAAAATACAATCATTCGCATCAGTTTTGCTTTGCTGCGTCATTGCGAACAAAACATGTTGATATTGGGCGAAGTTTGTCGATCGTTGGTCCATTTGCCTACCGGGCCACGAGGTGTTTGCGGCATCCCGAGGTCTATAAACTTACACAGAGTTACAGAGTTATACAATGTTTCTGATTAAATATTTGTATACCTTTCTGGCTTTTGCATTACAATTTCAAATCTGGAGTTTAACAGAAATAAAGTAAGTTCCTTCATAATATTTTTATGCCAGTGGTTCTAGGTGAGGTTTGTCACAGCCCTTTGTAAATGACCTGCGGCAGAAATTTATACTGAGCGAGTGAGCACTCTGCTTGTGATGAAGAAAAAGTCTTAATGCCATCGTGTTTAGCTTGCGCTGTGTTCGTAGTTAAATATTAATCGCATGTTTGTGAGAGAAAACCGCTGTCAAAATGACTCACCTACTCCGAAGTAGAAGAGACCAATACCGACTCCGGCGGCGAAAAGCATGGTAAAGTACGTCAGATCATTGAACTCCGGTTTGTCGTCAGGTTTTCCAAGTTTCATCTTTCCATACTTGGAAAAGTACAGCACAACGATAAAAACTGCCCAGACATCTTGGGTACCAATATACATCCACGTGAAAACCTCTGTGATCCACAGCATCCAACCGCCCATCTCTTTGTTGGCTACATCGGCTTGCACTGCGCACCAGATAACGAAGAACCAAATGATGGCGGCAGAGAGAAACGTTACCACTGGGTTGAAGCGCAGGAATATACCGACGTCTGTCCTTCCAATTGTGCCCCATTTCCAGTTAATTCTAAGCCATCGGCACCTCTCTGATGCGTTCTCATCTACCTCCATTTTACAGCTACAGCTTTACTCTTTGAAATTAAGTTGTAGCCTTCACGCTTTTGCTATAAGTATGCAAAGTATGTTTCACGGATCAATGAAGAGCGTATTTACAATCGTTATTATGCAACTCTCTAAGCCAATCTCGCCGTTGTAGGTGGCTCTTGAACAAAAGAAGGTTTTGACACTACTTCTTAATTGTTTGGTACTGATAACATTCCACCAACTAGCTTCGCTTATGTAACCGCTAGTCACGAAGCATAAAAATAAAAATAAGACTTTTACCGCAGCAGTTAAGAGTCATGCAACAACGCACTGTTTAACCATCTCTTGGAGTCAAATACTATCGAAGTGGCTTGATAACAGACAGCCCGACAAGGTCTTCTGATCATTAAATCGCCACTGGCTTCCAACTTACCTCTTAACAATAAAGTTTGGGTTACTAGACCTGAAACAAAAATGGCGGCTCATCAACAAAAACGTCTAGGCTCACTGTCTTGTTGAATTAAATATATGTATTTATTATTATTATTACTGTTCAAAACTGAGACATTTTTCCTTTTCCATTTTGTTGAGGAGCTGTACTGCTGCACGCTTTTCATGATACGTCACTATACCAACGCATGCGTGCCTGCACACAAACTTGAGATACCATGATATATACAACAAATGATCCTGAAGTAAATTCTCGGTATAAATAACTTGATACTATTTAATGTACGAGCACCTTGTCATATTATGGGGATGAATGTAATTGCAGCATAAGAGATGGGCCGTTAATTGAAATTTGTTATTGTTTCCAAGATTAAAAACCACAAAAATTTCCAATAGGTAGCCTGCGAGAAGGGAGAGAAGGGAAGACCGGAAATACGTTTTCGGTCGTAGGCTACCAATAGGCCAGTGGAACGGCTTTACGCGCGTATGCAATTGAACGCACACTTAATATATCGCCCTTGATCGATCAAACGGGCAGGGGAGTTATTTTGTGTATAAACTGCCAAGTGGATTTATTTTCTGTAAGATTGGAGCAGGAAGTGTTTCCTTCCCGTTACCACATACTTTCAAAACTGGGTGGATTTCCACAACCTTGTTTTTGTCAACGCACGTTAACGTATGCTGTAAAATAAACTTTAAGTTACGTGCGTGGACCTGTACGTTGACTTAAAAATGTTCTCCAGTTTCCACTGCCTTGTTTACGTTTTTTTGTTGTTTAATATTTCCACTGGTGTAAACGAAATTTACGCACGTTTTTTGTCTATAGTTATCAAAAGTGTTTTCGGAAAAGTTCTGAAAGTTGAACGGGTTTCGACTGTCTTTTTCACGACCACCTTTCGTGAACGTAATGTCTGAACACTTCTATTTCGACTCGGAGTTTTCTTTCCGGGGTTTGCGGGTCCATACACATTGAAGCCCGTTTGTTTTTGCAATGTTTTTCCTCTTCGATGTTGTCAACGGATATAGAATATATACAGGATGTAAAGAACTTAGCGAACGCTCTCGTAAAAACCCAAACCGTGTTGTATCATTAATTTTGTTGGTTCCTGGCATGAAAAGATGCGTCAGCGTATAAGGACCAATAGAAGGCGAGGTCTAGGCCCCGGAAGGCGTTGTATTCAAGTTGAGAGGTACAGCATCATCCGGTTTCTCTGAGAATGACGTAAATTTACGAGACAGTAAATAAGACAACAGTTTTGAGGGTGGAAAGGCTTACTTTCAAAGGAAACTTGCTACAAGTCACGTTTTACTTGCAGATTGCTCAGAAGATAACCAGGATGGCCGAGTGGTTAAGGCCTTGGACTTAAGATCCAATGGACGTGTTGTCCGCGTGGGTTCGAACCCCACTCCTTGTACTGTTTGTGAATGTTATTTTTTTTAGCGATGGCCGGGAAATCCTATGATAGAGCGTCGAGATTACCAAGGGAGGCTCGTATGAACAAAACTGAAGAAAATAAAGACGGATGGCAATTAGATTTTGAAAACTGTCCGGCCTACGCGACAGTATTTCAAAGCTCATCTCTGTTTATTTTATTTTTGAAGAGATGATTGCCTTGGTGTTGGAGTGCCACCGTACGTTATGAACAATAATTGGTCGCGCTTAGAGTGATTTTACTTAACCAATGAAACAGTTGTCTCACAATTTCGACTGAGTAAGGACACAGTGCGAGCCATGCGAAACAGAAATACAAAAAAATTAAAAAAAGCAGTAATACGAAAAATAATAACCGAAAGCTAACCGTTGTAGAGGAATGTTTAACCCTAAAAAGCGCTTAACCCAAATCCGTAAAAAAGTGTTTAACCTTAAACAGCGCTTGGGCCAATTCGTAACTGGCGAGTGCTTAACCCTAGTCAGTAAAAATGAGTGCTTAACCCTAATCAATGAAAGTCGACCAAGACTGCGTAATTCTGCAAATATTCTAGCAGCAATTGAACCTTACATACCCACGGAAAACTAAGCAGGAAACATTTTTAATGCATTTAGATGAAACTCTATTTTTTCCTATGGCTCGCATGCCTCGAAGATTGTCCGGACCAAAAAAATTTCTGCAGTGTCATATAGCTACAAATAATAAACAGATTGGAGTGATATACAGCGTATAAGTCTACTTTTCTATTTCAATGGTTCAGTAAAATCACTCTATTATGTCACAAATAAACTTGAACCATGAGTGGCGCGCATTAACCGACATCTTAATTACCAGCGTTTTCCTGTTTTTATGAACGCTTACTTAGCGGAAGACGTTTTGCTCGCAAACTCCTTGCTCTCGTTATAGAGAAAATGTGAGAATTACACCCACAGATCTAAAACTGAATGATTGTAAATCACGAGTTGAAAGCCGTTTCTCCTCGTGATCCTCCGTCAATCCGCCCTGTGATTTTGGGCTTTGACGCCAATAAGGCTCGGCGGTCAATCGGTTGAAAAAAAAACCTTTGCTTTACAACCTGTCATCTAAAAATGAATTACTTACTCTTACAGAGGCCAAAGGAAACTGTATTGCCTGTGGGACAGCAAAAGCATATCGTAAAATTCCGAAAATAAGCTCCCCATGTATATAGGCCCCCCAAACTCGTAACGCAAGAAAACCTCCGTTCCCTAACGCTCCTGCAAATAGAAGCCCCCTCCCGGGGTGGGGGGGGGGGGGGGGCGTGTTTTACCCCATGTATATAGGCCCCCCAAACCCGTAACGCAAAAAAACCCCCGTTCCCTAACCCCCCCGCAAAAAGAAGCCCCCCCCCGGGGGGGGGGGGGGGGGGGGCTTGTATTTGGAAATTGCCCACAAATACAAACTAAAACAAAGCAAAAATGGTAAATTTCGTTGCAACTAAAGGGCTACCCGAATCGATTTTGAAACGCAGATTTCCCTCCATAGATAAGCCCCTCAAAAAGAGCCTTTGAAAAATGTAAGTGCCGGGGCTTACTTTCGGAATTTTACTGTAACTTTTGTTTCATCGATCGAGTTGAGGATGTGGTCAATATATACCACCGTAAAGAAGGGTTCAAAAGCGACCGTTTCGAGCGCTTGTCCTCACGTCAGAGGAATTTTTGTGTCTTACAGAGACGATTTAGGGAGTGATCTTAGAAAAAAAAATTCAGAGCCTTTAACGTGTAACTGATCAGGGTGCGGATCCGTTTGCGGCATATTAAATCGTATAGCCGTATGATTTACCGTCGTAATTTTTCAGACTGTTTTTAAGTTTAAAAACAATAACAAATTTCAGTGGAAAATGCCACGGATATATACATTTGTTGGAAAGAATCCACGCAAAATTTGAGGCGAGGTTCATGAAAGAAGAAGATGCAACGAAAGGGTCAGGCACAGTCTTGAGAATTCACGAATTATTGTAGAACAGCAACTGAGCATCAACATTCAATCGAACGTTAAGTGAAGCGTGTCTTTTGCTCATTTACTGTTAGTAAAGGCACAAAGAAACATCGTTTTTGCTTAAAGGATGCCGCGACCGTGGTGTCATCTTCAATTCGGCAAACTGGTGACTCGCCTTGCACTTTTCTAATATGTTAACCAAGAGATTCAGAGTCAGATTTCGACTATGTTATTTTCTTTCGTCTTCATTTACAAACTTTTTGAATAAGACCAAACCGCCGCAGGCTGATGGCCTTTCTTTTTGCAGAGAGGAATGTGAGGGCTGCCATCATACTTAACTTAGCCCTGTTTCAAGCGTTGTGCTACTGCCGTGCAAATTAAATGCTGGCTCGGCTGTAGCTCGACTGCAGCACGACACTAGCACGACTTGGTTTCAGATATAGAAATTAAATTCAGTCGAATAGAACGGCTGTTGCCCAAAACAAAACATAAAAATAAAGAAACGGTTTAGCAAACTTTTAAATATATTCAATGTATTTATAATTTATGAATTGAGTTCGGCACGGCGGTAGGACGACGTTTGAAACCAAATCGAGCTACTGCCATGCTACACGGCAGTAGCACGACTTGGTTTCAAACGTCGCGCTACCGCCGTGCTAAAGTCGAATTCAATTCGATCAATTGAATACGGCACGGCAGTAGCACGACGTTCGAAACGGGCCTTCAAAAGGGGCTTGATAATTCCGCCAATAAGAAACACGTCGTGGGGTTCGCGTTTCCAAACATTTTTTTTGCAAGAAATATGAGGAACGTTTTGTTTTCGTCTTTGGAATAAAATGCCAAACTATTTTAATGGTAATGAAGCTTTCACTCTCGCTGTGTTCAACACGCTTTGAACTTTTCAGCAATTTGCTCACGCCAGTGTTTATAACTTGCAGTTCGAATTCGAATTAGATCAAACTTTCAGAAAGCTTACTCATGATCTGAAATACAGTAGATCCTCTCTGTACACACTCTTGTTGCCAAAAACATTGTTCGCTTAGGGGAGGTGTCCGCTTAGGGATGGTTCAAAATGTGCCTAGAACACTGACCGGGTCTCTGTGTGACGTTTTTTAAAAATACCTTGAAATGCTTTACTCCAAGTTTTTGAACCCCAAATGAAATGGTTTGATCATTGGTAACGGAAAATCTGTTATGAGGCATTTTGTAATAACTTACGTATTTTGAAATAAAAGCTACGCAGCTTGTAGTGAGGGCTACAGCATTTTGTAATAATCGTCGGTTTACGCAATTTGTAACAATGTCGTTGAAAAAAGCCCTCTAACTTCCACTGCTGACGCATTCTGGAAAACAACTCTTTGTATTACTAAGGAGCAATATGATGTCAGTAGCTCATTCCACGGACCCAGTGAGCTAGATCTGTTCGGCAGTTGAATGACAGTTCCACGTGACATAACTGAGATTGTCAATATCGGTTATAAGTGGGTGCTTCATCGAACCATTAAGTAAAAACACAGTCTACATAAACGACGGTGAAGCAAACGGATTCAAATCAGTTCATCGAAGTGTTTGACGGCGTTACTTGTCGTTGAATAATGGAGGTAGAGGAAAACGCATCCGACAGGTGTAAATGGTTCAGAGTCAATTGGAAATGGGGCAAAATTGGAAACACAGAAGTTGGCATATTCCTGCGCTTCAACCCAGTGGTAACGCTTATCTCCGCCGCTATTATCTGGGGTTTTGTGATTTTTTGTTGCGTAAAACCCGAGGTTGCTAGCGAAGAGATGGCCGTTTGGATGACTTGGATAACTGAAGTCTTTACTTGGATGTACATCGGTACTCAAGACGTCTGGGCCATTTTCATCATTGTGCTCTACTTTTCGAAGTATGGAAAGATGAAACTTGGAAAACCTGACGACAAACCGGAGTTTAATGATCTGACGTACTTTACCATGCTGTTTGCTGCTGGAGTAGCGATTGGTTTATTCTACTTCGGAGTAGGTGAGTCATTTCAATCATTTTTCAGTCCATGAAACTACAAGTTCAAAATGTAGAAGAAGCCGGTTGCCTTCGAGCAATGCGCGGGGGCGTCAATAACCTGCGATCACGCATTTTCAGATTTTGAAGGAGAGAGGGAAAATGAAGAGATAGTAGAGTTGCAGAGAGGCATGATCGCTGACTTGGGCGTCAAAAATGTGTAATAGTTGTGGGAAACGAAAGACATCATATCAGAGATGTAGACAGACTATGATTGCTGGCTAGGGCGTTAAAGATGTGTTCATGTAGGCTAAGTGGTCGGCTTTAATTTCTGGTCAACCTCAATGTGGAAGTTTTTATTTTTTCAGTGTAAGGGTAAAGCAAAAGGGGTGTCCTGTTGCTCCCCCGACATTTAACATTCCGTTCCCTTTCCTGTTTGACAAAAGTTTGCGGTTACCATATCAAACACTTGTAGCCTTACGTTTTTTGGAGCGTCATTAACAAAATACCAGCCACAATATTAAACGGTGATTTTACGCTATATTTAAACTCTGTTCCTGTTTGAATTCTTCAAGAGAAGATAACCAACACTTACAAAACATCACAATGAGTAAAAACACAGACTTTGCAACATAACATTTCCTAAGCGGACGGCTTTGTATTCGTCGAGACACTATTATTCAGATTGTTCGTTCATTTACAAATAATTCTGAAATTGATGAGGAGGTATTTTGTTACTGTTAAGCCATACGCAGTGAAGTGAAACCACTTTCTGTAAAATAAAAAAGAATGGAATTTACGCGCGTTCTAGAAAACAGTTGGTGGGCATTGAACGGAGGCTCTTCTCTAAAATGAACGGGACTAATTTTGTTGAGTCATCAACGCAATCGTCAGCAAAGCCATTGAGTTCAATAAAAGTTCAGTCATGCGTAATCCCGCCGATTCCTTTAAATTTGTGCCCAAGGTCATTTTTTCTCCTCCAAAGGGAAAGAAAACAACCTGTAGTAAGTTTATGGTTACGTAAGACGTAAGAAAATAAAACCGCGACGAAACGTCTGAAAATTGCGAAACGGACCAAACCTTTGAATCCTGGAAATTTGGAGACGAAACATTAAATGGCAGGGAAATTTAACGAACTTTTTACGAAAAACAAAAAAACTGGAAGTGTTTGTTTTTTAGACGTGCGACTCTCCGGACCAAAAACTCCGTAAGTTCCAGAAACAATGTTTGAGCGAGACGTGGTCATTACAAATTGCTTTGAGAGCATTCGTTAGTGTTATTACGCAACCAAGCAATTTTCAAGTGCTCGTAAATTCCATCACAGGTGATAATGCAAAATGGTTCATGCATGACCCATACAGTAAACATGACTTTGCAGATCTTTTACCGCATTGACCTCAGTTTTCCATTGTTTGTACCCAGGGGCAACATACTCAAATGATATCAAACATTTTTTTTGGCTGCAAAATAATTTATTTGATACTTAAAATTACAAGGAGTAGCCTGAGTTTTTTTCCAAATCTGACTTCTCTCCTTTATTGTCATAACAGCTGAGCCAATTTTTCATTACGCGCCAGGAGAGTACGGAAATCGTTACTATGGGAGGTAAGTACAAGTGAATTAAATATGGATAGTGCGGCCGGCTGTTGTCAAATTTGAGTTTACCAAATGAATGTATAATTATGTATATTTGCCACTGTATTGACCTAAAAAAAGATTTTTGCAAACTTCCCTTGATGTAAATCATGTAAAGACATTTTGCATCACGTGATGGCTCACCAGCCGGTGGTTAGGTTTTCTCTTCAAGAGTGTGTACTACACAGGAAGGAACGCCTTCCACCCTCATTTGTGTCTCCTTATATATTTCATAATTTAGTCAACGATTGGTGGGTGTTCATGATTTTGCTTTTTGCAGTCTTAAGAGTTGTTTTAATATGCTTAGCATGATGGTCCTTGATCACCAGTGTTTTATCCGCAGCTTACTTTAGCGCCTGAAACGAGTAGTGGTTTGGCGCTATTAATTTTCAGATTAATTATAAAATTATAAAATTATTTTTATAAATTAGTTAGTTGCTCTACTTTCTGTTGGAATGGCTTATGTTTTCTTTCGCGTACTTCAATCCTTTTGCACAATCTTTGTTGGTATTACAGTTATTATTGAAGTCTAAGGTGGCTGCGAAGGCCGCTTACTTCTGTTGCCAAATTAGAAATGAGGTTCCTCTGATGCTGCAAGAAGAAACATGAAAAGGTGCAAAAGAAAGATCCCTCAGCAAAACCAGCTTACGTTTCCCTTACGGAATGGTCGTTCGTCTATGCCATTAACAACAATATCAGTCCATAAAATATAGTAAAACGCCGCGAAGAATTGAAGAACCTAGGATTTAAGAACCTGCTGGCAGAAATTTGTCATTTTAATACTCCAAAATATAATAACCAGTTTAGCCAAGAAAAATCAACAGGTTCTTATATGTAGGGTTAGACTACATTTTCATAAATATTTTGACCAAAAGTCTTGCTTTGATATGGGAAATTTATATTACATTATATAATAAATGTATAATGTATACAACCATTGTTGAAAAATGCATATATATGTTCTACCTGTTAACCTAGTTTTGTTAGATTTTCGGGAAATAAATGCCTATTATGAAGGACAAATACCATTTATAGTAATTTCTTGTAATCAACAACAATATCCTTCATAAAAATTAAGAACCTAATTAAGAACCTATTTAGCCTAAACTTCCAATAAGTACTTCAAACTATAAGAATCTATTTTGCCAAACTTCAAAAAATGTAGGTTCTTCTTCGCGACGTTTTACTGTAATTTGTTTTACTTTTCTTTCTGTGGCGATCGTATAATGCTCAGAGTGATTAATTATTTCTTTGTTTCATGTTAGATACAATGATAATTTGCGAGCCCAGGACGCCATTAACCTGACCTTATTTCATTGGGGACTCCACGGATGGATTGTGTATGTTGTAGTCGGACTCCTCTTGGCTTTTGTGGGTTACAGAAAAGGCCTACCCATGACCTTACGTTCCTGTTTCTACCCCCTCATCGGTGACAAGATCTATGGATGGATAGGTGATGCTACAGACGTTATGTCTGTGGTTTGTACCATGTTCGGCGTCTGCACCAGTCTTGGTCTTGGCGCCATGCAGCTGAATACTGGTTTCAAACGCCTGAATTCATCAATTGAGCTCTCGACAACTAACCAGATTATTATTATTTGGGCAGTGACAGCTTGTGCCACGGCTTCAGTGGTGAGTGGGCTTAAGCTTGGAATACGACGTCTTAGTGAGATCTGTTTCGCCCTGGGCATGTTCATCATGATGGTCGGTATTTTTGCTGATGACACCTGGCATATATTGAACGTGTATGTGCAGAGCATCGGGTACTACTTCCAGTGGATTATACAAATCGGTTGGCACACAGATGCCTTCGCACAGCTTGGAAATGCCCCAGACGGTAAAGAAGCCAAAGGCTGGATGGCTGACTGGACCATCTTCTACTGGGGTTGGTGGATTGCCTGGTGTCCGTTCGTGGGCATGTTCATTGCTAAGATCTCCAAAGGAAGAACCATTCGACAGTTCATTAATGGCACGATGACTGCACCCATGTTGTACAGCTTTTTATGGTTTTGCATTTTTGGAAGTGCAGGCTTGAAAATGGAGCGTAATGCTGCCCTTGCTAACATCACTTGCGATTCCAAACTGGGTGGTAAAACTTCTACCGAGTCATTTAACGGGCTTTACCGTTTGTCCTGCCGAACAAAGGAAGAAATGTGGTTTGACGTCATGGAACAATATGGCGACCTTGGGACCTTCCTGTCAGTACTCTCGCTGATTGGCATAATACTTTATTTCGTCACCAGTTCTGATAGTGGTTCCCTGGTCATCGACTGTCTTTCAGCTAACGGCGACCATGAGCCTCCTGTTCTGCAGCGTATCTTTTGGGCCCTGACAGAAGGCGCAACTGCAACAGCTCTGCTAAATGCTGGCGGAACGAAGGGTCTTGTAGCACTGCAGACCATGTCGATTGCAGCTGGAGTGCCCTATACCATATTACTGTGTATCATGTGTGTGGCGTTATGGCGAGCCTTGAAGATGGAAGACGGGGATCTTGATCCACATGGTCCACAGTTCACCACCGGCCTCTTAGATGTCATAAGCAAGCCAACAGGAGAAAGCTTGAAAAAAGTCCTAGTGGCCGTCTTTGCACCATGGTACTCAATGGGAAATGCTGCCTACAAGATTGGTGGCAAGCAGACAAGTCGTTGGGTGTACTGGCTGGTCTTGGCCATTCCATTCTACACCTGGATCATCCTGATGGCACTGGAACCTGTTGTGAAAGCGATCTCCTACGTTGGCTGGACAATACTCTTTGCCTTCTTCGCCTACGGAACAGCTATCCGATATACCATGCGAGAGAAGTTTAGCATCCATGGCAACGCCGCTGAAGATTTCTTCGCGGTGATGCTCTTGTACCCGTTTGCAGCCTTCCAGATGGAACACCACATGGATCACCAGTATGATTTGAGCAAGCCAGGCTACCAAGGGGAAAATCTTGAGTACGTGGGGAATGGCAAAGGTGATCTATCAGCTAACGGATATGGAGCGCCACCTATGCCCCTTGACGATTTGAGCAAGAGAGAGGTCCATTATAACCCAGCTGCGTATGATGCCAAAGTTTGAAGTATAATATTTCATGAACTGCGTATTTTCCTTGTAACTGTGGAAGTGAAGCTCCGTATTTATCGGCAGGTTTTAGAGAACTTTTATGTTGTATTTGTTCAATGTAAAAATGCTTCGCTATTAGCAAATGTAAAGGAATTTCTGGGTTCTGGCAAGCTCTTTTTGCCTCCTTGGCCAGTTATTCAGTCGTCCTTTAATCAGTTAACTTGTTTCCGCATCACAATTCCTAAGCTATGATTAGGGAGATTATGCTACGAAGGCAGGAGCGGCAAAGTCCAGACCACAATCGTTTTACAGTCGAACCTCTGTATATAACGAAGTCCTCCACGATTTTCTTTACCCCCAGTAAAAGTAACACATATGGAAAAGGACCTCGATGTAACGAAACTTCCTTACAGCGAACAATTTTTACCAGTCGTTATGTGGAGGTTCCACTGTAATAAGAAAAAAAACATAGACAAGTGCATCACACTTTTACAAAATCTCTTTTCCGTCAATGCGCAACCATGACGTGAATCTTCCTGATTTTATAGGGGACGTAAACTTACGTTGTACGTAGGAGACTATCTTAATTGTTAATCCTTTCACTGCCAAATTTAGCCAAAAGCAAATTTCAACCAAATTTCCCAATTTCATTTTGTGAAATTTTGAAAAATAAATAGCACCATGCGTAAGTACAGGCAGAGAGGTTTCATTTGAATGGTCACATCATAGGATTTCGTCAGCAGACTCAAATGTTAGAGTCACCTTACAAAACTCCATCAAGTACTCCGGCAGTGAAAGGGTTAAAAAGATGTTGAATGCGTTCCCTGATGGACAAATTCAACTCTAGGAGAATCAGCTTACATTTAATTATTAAGCAAGGAAAGTCATTGCCGCGAAAACGATCAATTAGTGAAGTTTTTGTTCGCCGCTGTCGTCGTACTGATTACGTAAACTCCCTCTTTTGATTCAAGAAGTTAATGGTCTCTTATTTGAGAACTGAAGAAAGCAAAGAGAATTTTTTTGTGATCTCTAGGCAAAAACAAGGGCTACAAGAGAACATATACATACAAATGTATAGTGTAACATTTTAGGAAGATGCAACAAATACCACTTGGTATGAAATGAGTTAATTGATAGTATTAGATTTTAATGCGCGCATAGTCGTTTGCTTCAATTTTTATGGTAGAAATGTATGTAAATTTGGTCATTACGGCTCTCTAATAGTAATTAGAGAGCCGAGACCTATTAGCTGATTTTGTCATTGTACAGTCCAATTGTTTTGGTTTTGGTACTCCCTACAAACGAATAGAAGTGTTTTTGGTAAGGAAAAGTAGTGTAGCAGCTCTATGATTTAAACATGTAGCAGCTCATTTTTAGTTTGTGGACTAGCGGTATTGTTTCGGTGTTTTTTTCTCTATTGCTCTTTGCAAACTTAGTAGTCCAATCAAGTGAGACCTCCCGAGGTTTGCTACCGCATCACACTCTAAGGGTTGATTTCCAATGTCGCGTAATTTTTACGTGCGTACGCACGTGACATTTACGCGCGTAAATGAAATAGGGACGATGTATGAAAGGCGGCGCGTAAACGTAAAGTTGAGCGCGCTAGGTTCAACTTTGACGTTCACGCGCGACCTCACGGCATGCATTGTCTCTATTTTAGTTACGCGCGTAAAAATTACCCTACATTGGAAATCCGCCTTAAAGAATGGCTCTTATCAGCTCACTTCTAATTCCTTTAATTTTGATACTGCTTTGGAAACTGAAATTCTTTTTACAACGCAAGACCGTATTCCCAATGTTTGGGAAATTTTTGTAACTTACTTTTCTTAGTTTACGTTCATGACAAGCCTTAACAACCGAAACTATCCTGGGAAGTTACGTTTCTTTGTTTTGTTTGACAAGCCTTAACAACCGAAACTACCCAGTTTGCCTGCAAATATTTCTATTATCCCTTTTGCATTGAGTTTGCATGTTTTTAACCCTGGAAGGTTAATGATTTAAATCTAAGTTTAAAATTCACTCTTGTAGTAATGATTTTTTAATGAGCAGTAAAGAACATTCGAGCATAATGTTGTGTTTTAGGGTACTTCTTTTTCAGATATCAAATTATTAAGGCTATAATGCATGAATACTGCGTCATCAATCATTTGAGGGTAACAATCTTAAAGCTTTTGATTCTCGTCTGTATAACAAGTGTTTTGTGAGAACTGACGATAGAGCCCCACCTTTCATTCGAAGAAGACCACTCCATTACTTCAATTTAAGATTATCACCTTTAATTATCACCTTAATATCCATATTTTGCCTTTTGTCCATTTGCCATTTACATATCTCTCAAAATACACCTTGCTTGCCCCCCCCACCCCGCATAAGCATAAGCATTGTCTTCAATTTCTCTTGAGGCGAAAACAAAGGCTGTGCAATTTTTTTTGCCGGGGGGGGGGGGGTGCAAAGAAGATGCATTATCAGTGAGATGTGAAAACGCCGACGGCCTAATAATTCTTGCAGTATATAAGTTTTCCATCTTGTTTAATTCACTCAAATACTGTTGAAAAAGGCGAAAGTATCTACCGAAACATGTAAGAAAGCTACTTAGTTGAATTTTTTTTGAAATCACCTGGCTTCTGACTACTATCTTGACGTTCACCTAGCGCTACAACTGATATTAATTACACAGAACATGAATTTCTATTAAACCTGCTCGACCGGGGGGGGGCAAGTTTGCCGGCGCGAGACGCAACTACGTCATGTGACGTGGGAATAAGGTGATAACAAAATCTACAATTACTATCCCTACGCGAGAAGACGAAGATCCTCCCCATTACTTTCCTTTGGGAGTTCCCCCGGGGTATTTCTCTTCACACGAGAATGCTGTCGCGCCTTATACTTGCTTTTCTGGAAAGAGGTACATGTGGACGCGGAGAAACCTGCTTTAAAGGAACTGGAGGATCTTGGGATAGCTGACAGGAACAAGGTGATTTGGAGGATGGGGAAGCGTTCGAATCAAATACGAAACTACTTCTGTCACAGATTTGAAGGCGATTCGGAGACCGCTGATATCCACTGTCCGAGTTGTTGGAAATGACTGTCGAGTCCGTTTGACTGGTTCGGCATGCTAATACCGCTGGTAAAGTCTGGTAATCTACCTCAAAACTTTGCCTTTTTCTAGGGATCTTTAACTGGGCTTGGGCCAGATTGTAATACAGTGAAAAAGTGCTGCCAATCACTGAAGCGGAAGTAGAAAGAATGATAATGCCGCAAATGGAAGCGATACCACCGATAATCTTGCCTGCGAGGGATGCTGGGACTATGTCGCCGTAGCCTACGGTTGTCATGGTGATTATCCCCCACCACATCGAGTTTGGCAGGCTGTGGAACTGAGATTGTGATTTATCGGTGCCCCAGTTTACCTCGGCGTATAGAGCGAGACTAGAGAAAATGATGACAGGAATGAGCAGGATTAACAACAGCAGAAACAGTTGATAACGACTGGCCTTGACTGTCTTCCCAAGAATCTGCAGGTCGTAGAGAAGTTTAAAAAAGCGAAATATTCGGACTACTCGCGTCGTGTTCAAGACTGCAATTAGCGTTGTGCGTTCGAAAACCAGAAGAAGGTACAGTGGTATAATCACCAACAGGTCAATCCAGTTTTGTAACTTCTTTATAAATTGAATCTTGCTCGGGCAAAATACAAGGCGTAACAGGAATTCCAATGTGAACCACCCTGTGCACACTGAGTCTATAATTGTTAACACTTCCATCGGGGTTGAGAATTCAACTTTCATGGTTCCTGTTTTCGTTGCTGAAAGCAGAATGGAGAGCTTAAGATTCTAAGACGAGAACGACTACGAGTACTAGATTTTCTCACTGACTAAGTAGTGCCTGCGCGTGAGGCAGCGTCATTTTGGCGGGAAAAGTGGTAGCGCATGTCATTCTACTACGAGTTTTAACGAGATTGTCGTAGTGGCGGGAACAAGTTATCAAATGTTAGAAGTTTTAGCATTTTGCAATCAGGAGAGGTCTTAACCTCCTTCAATAACGATAGCAGTGCTAATTTTTCTGGTGAATAAGAGTACAATGAAAAATTCCGGGATGTCTATTTTTTGACAAGACGCGAAAAAACTATAAATCAAATCTCGTACTCGTAGCCGTTCCCGTCCTCGAATCTAAATCAAGGTCTCTAATAACAACATCTGATTACTGAAAAATATAAACCATACTCAAAGTAAAACCCCAAACAAAAATTAATCCTCTGACCTATAAAAACTGAGGTAGACACAAGTTAACCCATCAGCATTTGTACAAATTACATGTCTCCTCAGAAATCCATCAGTGGAGATAATTGGGACGTGATATTTACGCGCGAAATCGTTGCACGAACAAAGTTCAGAATAAGAACAAGAGACCCTAAGGCAATTATTTTACGGACCTGTTTCAAAGCATCAGAATTCCTTGTTTCTGAAAACATATTTGTTTTGGCCAATAACAAAGCTTTTAGTTTTTAAATTATGTTTTGCAAGAGCATTAATCACTATTTCATCTTCCTTGTTCTTCACGGGTGCGCGGTTTATAAATACCCATATTTTTTTAAGCACTTACTGTTATTTGCTTGTGTCTCGTTTGTCGCTGGATGCTTGGTGATATTCAAAGGATCAGCAACATCTTTAAATCCCTTGAAGTATTCAACTGTCCAAAGGCAAATGGTGAATATTGAGGTTACAATAAAAGCGAGCGAGACCCAAGCGAATACCTAAAAATATAGATATAAAGGTGTTTTTAATTTGTTAAAAAACGGCTTTAGTACACTCACAACATACTCACATTCTCTATAATTTGATAGTTCGTAACTGACAGAAAGGCCTTAGTAACTTTAAGCTTTGATACTGCTTGCCTTAAAAAGTTATACCTTTTTAATGTAGTTGTTCATTTTTGCTCGATTCCTAAACAGATTATGGGTAATCATAACAGTAGGTAATAAGTAACAGCGATACAAAGAAGAAAACGAACGAAAATCTACCTTTGCCGTCGAAGACGAGTACGGATCGTCTAAGATCTCCCAAACAATAGGCTGATTTCTTTGCCACCACGACAAACTCGGATCATTGAAAAACGGTCGCCGAGGCTCATCCATATCGTTTTCATATTTTGGCCTGAAATCCAAAGCCTGTAGATTTTCCTGAGCGTCTCTGTGCTTTGTGTAATTTGGCCAGCAGCAGGACTCCATTTGTTGCTCGTCTAAGCCCCAATACGCAAGTTCTTGCTCGAACAGCGGACCGCAAATATTGCGAGGACAGTGAAGCTTGCCTGTCTGTAAATAGTTCAATACTTGGGCAAAAACGCCAGGATGTCGATCAAAAAAATATTCTCCCGTTTCAGGGTCATAATCGAGCTTTGTGCGGTTATCGAGAATCCTCGAGAGTGGAATATCAGGAATGTTTTTTAGAGTACTTATGTAGGGCTCGAACAGTTTACCGCCGACATTAATGATTACTCGATCTCGGAGATCTTTTTTTGTACCGATTGTTTCCCGACGATTTGTGTCCCTTCTTTCTAGCGGTGACATGATATTTCCCGTTCTTCTTTCAAGATATAACTCACACCATGGATCTGCCTGAAATTACTGATTTGAAGCGAAAATCTAGCAGAAAACTCAGACTTTTCTCGTCAAAGGATTGTAAATATATTTCTATTCTCATCCGGGTTTTCTTCGGTTGCACCTGCCGCGTTGTTCCCTAGCAACAGACTGACAAGTGTCTTGCTTTTTAATTGAGACGAAAATGGAATAAATTATCATACTTTCCATTAAGGAACAACCGAAAATTAAATGTGCAATTGTCTTCACCTGCAAAATAAGACGAAAATTTAAATTTACCTATCGCCACTTTTTTTTGCCAAGATTGCTTTTGAACGTAAAGACAATCTGATATCAAGAATGAACTCCGATCAGCGTTAAATTAGTTGACACTTCTTTTTCTAAGCGAAGATTTAAGGCAAAAATACAGAATTCAGGCCAAAAAATGAAAAATTAAACTTATGCGTGAACTTTAATTATTTATAATGGCACGTAGCTTTCTGTCGATGATTTTCATAGTTAAGAAGCCGTTTTTATTCGCAAATTCAGATTATCGATCAAGTAGTGTGGCTCTATCGTTTAATTCTCGTGCTTCGACAGCAAGTTGTGGAGTTAAATAAAAGTTCATCTTTATTTAGGATGTAAAAGATGGTTCACAATAGGCATGCAGATTTGGCTGAGACAAAGCAAAAGCGCGCGGAAAGAACCTGAACCCGACTTTCCGCTATGCCTGAAATTTTATGGCTCTCATCTCACCCTCCCACCCCGCGTATGTCACTTTAAACTTAAGCTTATCGCAAGCGGACACTTCCTGATGCTCATGCTTTGTACTTCCGGTTTCTCAGAGATAAATTGCGACTTTCAAATCAATTCCAGAGAAGCATCGTTACTACTTCGTTTTGTTCCAAATTTATTGATGCCACCGTATCTGAAGGAAGTTGACTCCATAGTGATTTTTAAAACACTTCTTAATGATATTATGTTCTTGTAAATACGTTGGAGTTTTTTTAGAGTCTTAATTTACGTAGTTATATAACATCCATCGACGTTATACATAGTTTTTACATTTTTCTGATTGTTGATCTGTTACAGACAAATTAAATTCTGCAAGCAGAATACTGATCTGTTATAGTTTTTTTTCCTTTAATTGTTGATTTTTTAGTTGCCCAGGGCACCCATTCATGACAGCTTCAGCTGACGGGTTTACCCTGGTTAAATATTATTACTATTATCATTATTATTATTATTATTATTATTATTACTATTATTATTATTATTATTATTATTATTATTATTATTATTATTATGTTGATGCTTATGTCGATTCAGCCTAGCACCTTTAACTCGCTTCTTATTTGCTCCTTGCCCTTTTCAGGCGTTTAGATAGTGGGGACGGACCAAATAAAAGTGAACCGGAAAACTGAAATTCTTCTCTTCCTTTCTTCCTCTTTTTTCCTCTTTTTTCCCTCCGCTTTCCACTTCCCTACACTCTTCATTATCCTGGTCGCCTGGAACAGCCCAATTTGCTTCCCAATCTGCCCCTCCACTATTGTATTTACTATGAAGGGTCCAATCTTTATGGCATTCTAAGAACACGGTGGTCAAACCAAAATGAAAAAAAAAATCAAATTTATTTTTTTCTACATTCATACAGTAGATGTGTTTGCATGGTTTTACCAGAACACTTCACACCCATAATATTTTTGTTCGAAAGGGTTTAAATATCAAGAAAATCAATATCAATCAATATCGTTTACGAAAACGTCCAAAACTGGCGATTCAGCGTCTGTGGAGTTTTCTTGCCACAAATTTAAACTCGGTTGTTGAGTCAAATTTTGAATCTGCAAAAAGCTCAACGTTTTTATTTAAGGCTATTAAAAAACCTCAGCTATGTACAATATACCTACAGAATATACACTTTTATGCCATACAGCCCATGTTTTTTTGTTATCTTTTAAGTTAACTTGCATATAACTTATAAAATGCAGCAAATCCTAAAACGATCTCTTATGACGTAAATAACTATGACCCATTTACCTTAAAAAAAATATGTAGAGAAATAAATAAATTTTAATAATGTCCAATTCCACCCAAATCTGGGTGGCAAAAAGGCCTCTTTAATTTTTTTTCGGATTGTTTCAAAAGAATTCCTTAAATTTTAATCAAGTTTGCTTGAAAGTTCATCAAGTAGCCCGAAATATTATTTCTTCAGATTTACGAAACTTTCATAACAACTGTAAATCAAACACAGAACAAATGACCAATTAATGTTGTTTTTGTTATACTCCATGGCCACATCATTATAGTTTGAGCTACAAGGCAAAAAAAAAAAAGCTTTCAGCTTTTGGATGCTCCAGTCTAGGACAAGGGCCCGTCACTCGTCATCGTACGGAACAGGAGGGAATCTGGGAACGAGTTTGCTGATACATACTAGGCGTCACCACAAGAATGCGAAAGACTTATATTGACCAGAGACTCTTGGCCACCTAGTTAAGTTAAATCATATAATGACCTCATTCACTTTCACCATCCCATGTTAAGGTGAAAGGTAAATGTTTGTTTACAGTGAAGAGCAATTTGGTTTCCAGCTAGTTTACAGGCACTTCACATAAAACTGCAAGTAGAACCGATAACTTTTAATCCTGTGACAGGATTAAACGCCCCATCTGGCTGGAGGCAACCGATTGGCTTTTTACAAACATGAACTAGGTTTGAACGCAGGACGAACAAGAACTTCAAAGAGAGGGACTCAAACCCGGGAACAACCTCTTACGAGCCCGACGCGCTGACCACTCCTATATATCCTATTCTTCTCATCCTAAACCTAAATAAAAATGTCTAATATATTCTCCACCCTTAAATTCCACCCTTATCCCTTTGGGCAGCGTCAATAACTGTGACTCCTTCACTTTCCCTCCAAAAACGTTTTATCAAACTTCTACTTTGCCTCAGCTATCGCACGAGCAGATGCATCCTATGGCAGATGGCTTTCAATTAACCTTCTTAATTCCATTCTACAGGGAGAACTAGGTCTGTTTTCAACTTCCACCCCTTGTATCATTAAACCTTAACCTTATAGGTTACACTTTTTCTGACCACCTTCTTCTTTCAGGGTGTACAGTATTTCCAACCATTTTTAATCCTCCAGACATAACATTCAAGTGGTCAAAAAAACGTTTGTACATTCTCGAACTACCGCAAACAATATTCCATGTGTCCATAACTGGTTTTGGTAGCGACACAGGCCGGGTTAAGGTGACTGAACACAGTTTAATTTTGGCAGTTTGTGAGTGTATGTCATTTGCCAAATCATGGCAAGAGAAAGGTTGCAGCTCACAAGCTGAAACTTCGCGAGTGAAAAATATACTAGTGAAAGATTTTGATGGACAAGTAAAATTTGACGTTTTTGTAGTTTCCTTGGTAACATAAACGATTGAATATAACTTTAAAATTTCACTTTTGCTCAGTTTACAGAATATTCGCTCATTAGATTCGCTCAGTAGATTTTGCTATAAACACAGCTTACTATAATAAATCGTTACCATTTGAAACTTATTTGGCCAAATTTTAACAGACGGGTTTTTAGATAATAATATAATAATACTGTAATTATTAAATGTGTAACAAATTTAGCCTGCCCAACTTCCATTTTAAAGTTCTCATTATTTAAAATAGGATAAAAGTAAAAATTCTGCCAAATATCACAAAATTTTAATGAGTAGATTTTGAAAAATCGTCTTCTGTATACCATTGTTTTTCGCCTCCACGTTTGTTTGTCTGATTCAAAACATGCCGTCACACGAGTTACCGCTGACCGCCCGCTAAAACTGTGTTCAGCTACCTTAAACCCGAGTCATATTTTGTATGACATCTTTCTTGGGTGCTCTAACCACTTCGCATATCACCTCTTTTTCTTCAGTCTCCAACGAGCTGTTGCCCTGTGGAGACGCTGATATTAATCTGGGGTGGATATTCTTCAACTCTTGCGAGTTTTTGTCTGCAGCGTCATGATGCGAATTCCTCGCACTTGAGGTACCCTTTATGTTTCTTGATTTAAGATCTCTAAACGGTCCATTCGATATGGCTCTGTAGAGTCTTTCATCTGACCGCGCAAGTGGCGATATTGTCATTGCTGTAAAATTGCGGTTCCCACCAATCGCATTTCTCCTCTTGCATGGTGGAGTTTCAGTAGCAGCAAGTTCGCTTCTTGACCTCAGTCGAGGCTCGACACCTAATTTATTACCATCATCGCTCAAGTTTTCAAATGATTTCCACATTGGTGCGCATTGAATTGGAGCCTCGTTCAGATCCTTTTGATTTGTGTGTTCGTTGTGTTCCATAGCATCAAATGTCACTCCTTTTAAGCTCACATTTGAGTTCGAGCCACCACGTGACGGTATTTTATCCTCTGTTTTGTCGAGTGGGCACGCGCCCGCGTCTCTTGTTTTATCCCCAGAACTTGAAGCTCCTATTTCTCTTTTCTCATCTGAACAAACAAATCTTAGTTCTGTACCATTTTTATTTCCTGATGTGTTTGACTCGTCAGACGATCTACGCGTTCCATTATCTTTCTCTGGTGGTGATGCTTCACCGGGAGAATTCCCATGGGTACCAGTTTCTCCTTGGCTCAATTCCCCGTCAGTAGTAGTATAGTAACTGTCCCTTTCATTCTCGTGCGACGAAAGATCATCATTTAAGCCTTTTGCCAGCCGTTTGCTTCCCCCTCTTCGTCTCCTCCGCTGACTTGCTCGTCTTGAGGGAGGAGTGGGTGCAGGAGAAATTGCCATTCGACGATGTGAAGGAGCAGTTATATGAAGCATGACGTCACTCGCCCCACGAAGACCGCTGGATATGTCCACTGCGCTTCCTGTGGGTGGTGATGAAAACAGTTCTTCGTTGCTCTTCTTAGCAGTCGAGGTGGCTTCTACTTCGAGAGAAGTGTCAGATTCTAGTTTAGGTAAAGTGGAAGGTAAGGTGGCTTCCCTGTAAACCATGCGACTGCGAGGAGTTATCGAAGGATTCCGAAGGCTCTTCCGAGGTAAAGCAAGAGAACCTCTGCGGGGACTCGGGCTGCTTCCCACTTCTTCGGAGCTGTTCGACTTATCATCGTTATTAAACAAAGTGGATTCTGACACCAGAGCACCAGCAGCGCCAAGTAGAAGCGGCGTGCGCTTCTTTTTAGGAAGTTTCAGTTGCGCCTGCGCGTGAGAATAAAACAAAGTGAAGTTGCTTCCAATCACCGACACGGGAAGTGCAACGATTAGCACACCTACACATGCGCAGACTGTGCCTATAATCTTTCCGAGAAAAGACCTGGGATAAACATCCCCATATCCTACTGTCGTCATGGTGATGACGGCCCACCAGAACGTTCCTGGGATGCTCTCAAAATCTGACGTTGCCTCCTGAAACGACTGAGAGAAATCAAATAGCGAACGTTTAGAATATTTGAAGCGATTAATATAATGGGCTATTGCATTTAATATCTGTACCTCCAGGTTGAAGTCTTACCTTTTCTTCTTACCTTTGAAGATTAATTAATATTGCATTCACCCCTGAAGAATGTTGGTCTACCCCCGAAGAATTTCACCTCCAAAGAATTCCATATTTTTTTAACTCTACCCCTAAAGAAATCCTAGTTTTAAAACTTACCCCTGAAGAATTCCACTAGTCCTCAACCGGGGGCACCGTTATTAAATGCAATATCTTCTAGGAAAGTGCACGATTTTTTTTCATCTTTTAATTATTGTGCTGGAGACGTCGATTATTTAGGTAGTCTACTGAAATTCAAGAAATATCAGATAGGCTCACCACAATAGCCAAGCATTTCTATATGAAAACTGTCAACAAGGACTTTTTTTAAGGTATTAGTAGGCCACCCTTTAAGGCGGAAATAATTACGTTATAGATCAACCTGTGGCTGTGTGTGACCTTCTTGTCACTGAGGTCCGGTTTAAGCGCCGCGCTTCTCACGTGCCCAACCTAACTGATGAAACAGGTACGGTAGAACAGCGGCATTTGAGTATGTTTGGCTCGGCAGTTTTAGCTTCATACGGCAGCGACCTTAAATTCTGAAAGAAGCTGTCTCTTTCTCACACTGGAACGGCGATTGATTCATAAGGCTATCTTCTTAAGCGCCGAATCTATTGATTTCCCATAAACTTCTCATTGTGCCGTGCCGGTGTGCGTGCGTGTGTGGGATGGATTCTATCTGGGACTTCGTTCGACAGAGAGAAACGCCAGCGCTCGAGAAGTCTACTCCTCAATCCTTTTACTTAAGCTAAATTGACTTTATCAATTTGGTAAATAACAATTTTTGTTACATCAAGTTAGGTTTGGCACGTGACTGCTTCGTCTATTGTGTACACCCCTCCAAGGCTTACTGCTACCGATAGTGTCCAGCTCTTAATTATTGAAAGTACTTAATAAGTAATTATAACAGGACAGAGTGGAGTCCAATTCGGTCTGTAATCATACAAGTGATTAACAAAATCGGATGACCGAGTAGCGGGAGTCCGATTTGTTTAATCACGAGTATGATTACAGACCGAATTGGACGACTCGAAGCTCTGTTACCAATTAGTGATAACTTTAACAAAATTTGTTATAAATATAAGGCTCTTTTTTTAAATCGAAACACAAGGAATTCCAAGATCTTTTATTTGCCAGCAGTGAAAAAAGCCATTTAAGCGCGCGCGTGAAGGCGTGTACTGTCCAATTACTTAGGCATGACGCGTACTGCCCTATTAAACTATCCAATTAAAGCTGAAATCAGGGCAGCTGATAGCCAATCAGATTTGAGAATTTTGTTATAGTTATGATTATAATAATGATAATAATAATAATAATAATAATAATAATAATTTTAAATATAATAATGATAATAATAATAATAAATTGAAAGAAGAAGAAATTTTATTAACAACAATGCTAACTATTAAAATCCTATTTACAATTAATTCGCTTAAAAAAAAAGAAAAAACTATTCATTCAAAAACACTATTTACAATTCCTGTCGAATTAAAAAGCACTTAATTTAGCTTAAAAAAAATTAATGTAACGAAGAAAAATTTTTTCGAATTAAAAACATTTCATTTCAATAATAAAAAAAAACTGTCAACCTCTAAAATTCAAAAGTTTCTTTCAACTGCTAAAAACAAAAAAATAGTAATAATAATAATGAAATAAAAAGATATACATAAAGTAAGGAAACACATCAATAGTCCGATTTAATGGCTCCTTCAACAACTTCGATGTCGATATCAACATTCTTAATGTCACATAGCACTCTTCTTGTCCTAGAGCCTCGAAGACAAACCAACGCAGATCTCAAGAGTGCGAATGAGGTTCTCGTTCTGATCCATGAGATAGTTTTGGCATACTGCTCCCCTTTTTTGATGGCAATCAGCTGTGCTAAACGGCTATGATACTTCAAGCACTCCTTTCCCATTCCGCCAGTTGTGGTGAAGACCAAAGGTGTAAATGTTCCATGCTCGATGTCCAGGACTCTCTCTGAGTAGAGACGCTTTTTCTCGTTCTCATGGATACGATAGATTTGTTGTGGCTCTAGGTCCCTATACGATGCAGCATTAGGGTGACAGACCCTCACATCGAAGAATGCTGATCGATGTCGCTCCCAGAAACCACGCGCGTGGATATCTAACCTCGCATCCTGAGCTTTGTTAGATCCTCTGTTTAAATGTTCGCCGGAGATGTCTTGAAGTACTGGTTCGATCTCGACATCGCTACACTAATAATAATAATAATAATAATAATAATAATAATAATAATAATAATAATAATAATAATAATAATAATAATAATAATAATAATAATAATAATAATAATAATAATAATAATAATAATGGCTCTTCACTTCTTACCTTTTCGGCATAAAAAACAAGCGTCGAAAAAATAACCATGGGAATCAAGAGTATCAGAACAAGTAAAAACAGTTCTCGAGCACTTGCTCTTAAGGTGTGTCCAATTACTTGCATCCCACTCATGGTCCGGAAAAACCGGAATAACCGGAAAATCCTGATTAACCGCAGAACGAAGAGAAAGGTTAAGTCGGCACTGGCAGCCAAATTGATGTAAAGAGGAATAACAGACGTTATATCAACCCAGGTCATGAATGTTTTAAAAAATTCCGGCACAGAAGGGCAAGAGCAAAGCCTGGCCACGAAATCTGCTGTAAACCAGACAAGGTAGAAGTATTCCATGACTTTAAATAAGTTTGCATATCCTTTTCGAAGGAATGGAATAGATTCCAGGCAAAATGTGGCCACTGAAAGGACGATAACTATCAAGGATATGAAAGCAAATATCTAAAAGGCAAAAAAATACATAATTTAATATAAAGATTTAACGGAGGCAAAAGGCGAAGCTCCCGTTTAGGAAAAAAAAAATTGCAATAAAGAAATCCAATTAGAGTTAAGCCTGCGATCAGTCGAAAACTAGAAGTTTGTCAGCGGTAAACGTAAAGAACACTTTACCTCGATGGGTCGACACCTGAGCCCGCGATACGGTCATGTGATACTGGTCAGTGGATACCCTGTTTTGACAGCTGTCGATTGACCACAACATGGATGTGCAATATCAAATTACATACTCCTACACTAGCTAGAAAGTGTAACATGTCACATCGGTTTCCCTGTGGTGCGGATGGGTTGACGTATACGGTCACGTGACTAACTAAAGGGTAACCAAATTTTCTTAGCTATGGGGCTCCGCTCGTGTGGAGCTTCGCTATCAACGTTATGCTAGCTACCTAAAGAACCATCCTAAAAAACTCGGAGAGTTAGAATAGAAAGAGTTTTTAGACGGAGAACTTAATGCTAATGAAACATTGACATTATCTTCGTCGTCATTATCGTTATTATCATCATTTTCATCGTTATTACAAACATTAATAATATCATCATTGTGACTTACTATAAAGATAATCATAATTCGAGAAAATCGTAAATATTAGCAGGATTGTATTACTTAACACATGTTGTAAATAGGGTAACTTTGATTTTCATACAAGAATAAGGTATTTTTATCAAACCCAATGAAAGACATTTCAAAAAATTCACCTTAATATTTACACTTCGTTTTCAAAACAGTTCGTTGTTTATATTTTTTCTGCATCATATTCCATGACACTGACTTTTAAATCCAAAATTTGTCAACAATGACAAGTTGGGACTGTTCTGGCCGAGGACGTATCCTTGGATTAACATCCCAGCAAAACAAACGCGTGCGTCAGTCTGTGGGCTTTTGCACAAATGTAATATACAGGAATTTATTTCACTTTGTGTTAAGCAAATAATGAACTACATTATTGCAAATAGGTTGCTATAAGAAGTCGACGTTAGCTCGATTACAATGTAATACTTCGAAGCTCTCTTTCTAAATTCGTGCTCAATAAAGTCATTAGGGCTAGATTTTCTCGTCAACCTATCGCTTCTCAGCTGGCTCTCATTAATAATGCACGAAGGAACCACGCCGATAAAGTCTTGCGCCGTGTCAATAGCACCTACAGATTTGAATGGTTAGCTCAGCTGTGGTTAATGACTTTCGCGGCTTATATCAATAAAACATTTGTTTATGTCTCATAATTCTTTCGAGGTGTATACGAAATAGGTTCAAAACAAATCCAGCTCGCTAGAGACAAGCTCGCGCGAAAGCTTCGCTTTTCTTTATCAGCTTAGACGGTTTTACGTTCAGTAACTATTATAGAAATGAAAGACACTACTAAAAGAAGGACCTTTTTCAAATACAATTCTTTAGTCCAAGGAGTGACCAACATTAATTTTCTTGTTTCTTGTAACTATATTAATACATAATCAAGAGGAAGGGTTATGGAATTAATAATAATACGATTACCAAACAGGAAATTCTTGAAAGAAATGTTTGGAGATTAGGTCTGGAGAATTGGTTGGTGTACATTGGGGCTTAAAGGGTTCGGAAAGCAAGAATTTTGTAACAGGTAAACTTCGCTGAAAGTTCTGCTGGCGCCGAAAAGGGTCTTATCTACCACTCTCTTCACTAAAACAGACTAAGTTACAATGTAGCAAAAAAAAAGCTTACTGAAGGAACCCCATTTTTCCTTTCTGCTAACTTGTGACTACGCTCACTGTAGTGAATTTTGATTCATTTGCACTGAGGTCGTCCGTGTGAAAACAAAAGTTACACCTGATATTTGCGCTTGAAAACAACATTTTCACAAAAAAAACTTCGCAAAACTGGCTTAATTACCTCATTATGAAACAGAGGCTTAGAGCAATCCGGAATTGCTCTTCAGTTTTTTTACAGAAATGTTGCTTAAAGAAACTCACACTGGCACACTTACAAAATATTTTAACCAGTGCCCTCTCAAAAGGGTTAAGTTATGATTTCAATCAATGGATGCTTTTAACCAAGCGTGCGATTTGTTTCCACTGAAAAGTTGCCAAACTTTACTTGAACTTAAAAGCGGCGATAATAGGAGAGAATTTAAATTAAAGAGAGCGCGCGTGCTGTCATATATTCACGCGTTGGAACCACCAGCATGGGAAACACGTCAGTGCTTACTCATAATGGAAAATAGACTTAACCCAAACTTTGTATTCTCGCGATCGAGTCATAACTGTCTACTAACGAACTCAAAAACAAGTTCGTTTTCTATCATTCACCAGAGATATTATTTAGATTATTACACGTTGATTAAAAGTTTACACTCGACGAGAAAAAGGAAATAGGTGAAGTAAGTGATATAGATGCATCAAGGGACGAGTATTTCTGAGTTCACTTGGGACGTTATTGCATGAAAATCTATAAATCTTATAAAAATGGATTAGAAATTGAGATGGTGAGCACTTTTTGAAACAAATATTTTGCCCTAACCGAGTCTAGTCGATTTTGTGCAATAAAGAAGTATATGTCCGGATCCATCTTAATTTCTTCTCGTAGTATTGATCAATAGTGTGAGCAGCTAGTGAAAACTACAGTTTTTTTACGTGACTGAATGGACATTTCTAGCACATTTGAAAACAGCAGCCCTATTTTGCAAGAAAGTAATAGTTTCAAAATGCGCAGAAAATTTTTCACAAATTATTGAATATACAATATTTGCGAGATAAAACTAATACTGTACAATTACCTGAATCTGTTAAGTTTTAATTTAAGCAAAAGACGATGGAAACGAATACAAAACTCATGTCTGTGAATGGCAGTGTAATATTTACGCTGCATATTAATAGTTGTTTGAAATCAAACAATTTACTTAAAGAATCAAACAAATCCAAATGAATGTCGTATTTTTGCAGCGACCTTACCCAGACAATGATAAAACGGAGTGATATCTTATAACTGAAAGCCATAGCACAGGACGTTTTCACGATTCTGTGGCTCAATTTTTCTTTCTTCTTTTTAAATTAATATTTGTACCAGACTAGTACTGAGACATTTGCAAGTCAATGGTCAGACTTCCTGTGTGTTTGAATAATATGCAAATATATGGCTCAGAAACGTGAGTAAGATAGGCAGCAACGTAACCATGACTGTTTATAAAAACCCAAACAATAATAGAAGAACAGTCAAAAATTACTAGTCTACAATTCTAAGTCCAAGAATGTTTACATAAAAATACTGCTAGATCGAAAGATTTAGAACTTGTCGAAGCTTTCAGAGATGGTTTTCGAAATTGAGTGCCAGTCAGTTTGAAATCAAAGGATGTTATGATTATAAATGTGATTCTGTTTCGACTTTTTTTACGCGTTGTACTTTTAGCGACAAAAAAGGAAATTTGAATCAGAGATGCTGAATATTAAATATAAAATATTTTCTTTTTTCTTATATGTGATAAGGTCCCCGAAATATACCAAAATTGTTAACACAGTACTCCGTTGCCAGGCCAGGGACCGTAGCGGTTTTATCTCTTGACAGCCTTCTTAACAGCAACAAAATTATGTTTTAAAGTATTTGCCTTATGAAAGTAAACTGTCGAAAGGCGATGCTAGAGATATATAATAAATCTACACTAGAGACAACCATGTTAATTAATTTGAAATACATGTAATCATATTTCGCGATAGATTCTGGTTTCAACAAAACGAAGACATGTATGCCGCATGTCTCTGCTGATTGATGGGGCCTCCGACAAAGCAATGATACCAAGCAAACAAACGTTTGCTGTTAGTTCAACAGCGCTTTTAAGTTCACGTTGAAAATAACATACCCACTCGAATAGTCAAAATGCCAACTATCTTTTCCTAATTTGCATACGGAGAAAAAAAATTACAACATTTGTCAGCGAATGCTTTGAGCGATAATAATATCCCCACGGTCGCTTGCTTAACTTGTTGGAGCAATTTACCCAGAATATGCACCCTCAAACTCAAACGGTTGTAAAACTCAACTGGAAACTGCTGATATCGTTTCCGTAATCCATTTAAAAAAGCATCGGTAGTTCGATCGATTGCATGCAAATTAAATGCGTCTTTGAATCCCCTTAAGAAGTTTAAAGAGAAAAAAACAAAACAACAAAAAAAAAGAAGGCGCCTGATATCTTTTACAAGATTCTTGCTGGGCAAAATTGCTTTTAAAAAACCTTATCGATATATTTATTTTTCTATTTGTATTCGGCAGTGGCGTATTTAATTAGGGTTACCTGAGCGTACTTAGATGAGTACGGCTTTTCCAGCATCGCCCAAATCTCTTTTTTCAATTTACTTCTCCTTGAAACTTTAGGTCGAACGCGAAACGCACTGCATTCGTTTTCAGATTCCTCCATGCTTTTCTGCAGTCCTTCAAATGCTTTAAGTGTTGCTTGCGCTTCTCTATGTTGCGTGTAATTACTCCAGCAACAAGGCTCCATTTGAAGCTCGTCTATTCCCCAAAATGCGAGCTCTTCCTCAAATAACGGCCCGCAAACATCGCTCGGACAGTGTAGTTTCCCGGTTCTGTAGTAGTTGATAATATTCGCGAAGACCCCAGGGTGACGGTCGAAAAAATATTCGTTATTTTCTGGATCGTAATCGGCTTGTTTTGAGGCATTTTCAGCTATCCAAGCGAGCCTTGAGTCTGGAACAACTCTAAGAGTGCTTAAATACGTTTCGTGGCGGTAACCGCCTACATTAATTATGACACGGTCCTTTGCTACGCCGCGCGCTGGCAACGAATCTTCGAAGTTCGACTCGGATTTCGCTCGAGCTATCGTTCCAGGTTCGAGTAACATGACGTTGTAGCTCCGTATAAGCGATTCAGCTGACGGAAAGCATTTTCATGGATTTAAAATCCAATTATTTGAAGAGGAACTTGTGCTTTAAAATCTGGATTCAAAATACATAGGTTACATTCACCAGTACTTTCGCTTAAAGCGCTAGCCACCTGTTACGGCTAAGTTCCACGAAATTTCCATAACAACTTCGTTGATTTTGTGCCTCGCTGTACCATTAATCTCGTCACGTAGGTTGTTCTAAATCTCATCTTCATCAAATAGCACCTTAATATTACATCTCGATGCTGCGATACGCAAGTCTATCGAACAGGAACCGTACAAGTACTATGGTTAATTTATAAATACCGCAAAGATTGTTTTACATTGAAAATCAATATTTAAATACAATGAATGGTGACATTAGCCAATCACAAAGAGGCTTCAGTCAATCGACTAAAACGTTCGAAATTGTCAATGTTCTAGTCTTGATTAGTTTTCCGTATCTATGTCAAGGTGCTCGACCAAGCACTAGAATTTCAAGAGAATCTCAATGATAAAATGAAGGAGGTTATTCACTTACGAACATTTACAAATATGGCCTTCAGTATTTTATTGTGACAACATTTTCGAGTATTTGAAGGAAATGTCCTGTCGACAAACATCTTGTCTGCTCATTTTGTATACATACTGTATTTTATGACAATTTTAGCGTTTGTGCAATAAACGGGGCAGGATTAGATGCGGACGAAAATTAATTTCAATTTGTTTAAGTGTTCATATGCAGGAACAAGGTTTTCGACATTGCGGTTTGGGTGCCAAGAGGAATAAGAATAAGGAAATAGTTCAAGACAAGAACCTCGCAATAATTAATCCAAAAAGTCTTTGTTATCAGAGGATTGATTATTTCTCATTAAAGCTAATAATAACAACAATAATATTTAATAATAGTTTTGTAGTCTTAGGATTACAATCGTGGTTATGACTGAGAATAGAATGTTTTTCATTTACTGGCATGGACGAAGCGGAAAAACATCCGAGTTCTTCAAACAGGAGTGGAACCTATGACCCTTTGTTTACCAGTCCAAGCACTCTACAATATACTACTGAGCGATAGGAGACTTCTGGCAACTATTAAGGCGATTAAACTTGGTTCATTTGAAGCTGATGGAGGCTAGCGACCCTTGGCTTCGAAGAGCCTCCCGTAACTCAGTGTTAGGGCATCTGATCTGACAAGTAACCGGAAGGCCATAGATTCGTCTCCTGTTACGAGAAATTGGAACTTTTAGGAGTTGTTTTGTGACAATGTGATTCTCATTAACGAACAGACTTCAAGTTCACGTTGATAGCACGATTATGACTTAAAAACTGATTTTTCATTATCATAAGTAGTAGTAGTATGCTTTTCCCGAACGAGATTTAAACGTTTAGGCTTTTTAAAAACAAAAGAACCAAACAACAAAAAAATAAACTTTCCAATTTATAAAGCAGATGTTCAGCAACGGCACTCAAGGCTGATCTTGTAATGAAGGAATATAAAATTCTCACGTTTGCATGCCTGACAGTTTTAATCTCAGCTCGTTTAAAAGACCACCCGTGTCTCATTAATATTAAAATGAACGCTTTCGTGTGTTTCGAGCAAATCAGTCAGATTCGTAATTATAGTTTGTGAGTTTTGTCCGCTGAAAAACGACAATCTGCGTCTGGTCACATTTTTAATAAGCACAACTGGGCCGAAATGATAAAAAATGACCGAAGCAACAGTCACCTTATTTTTCCTTGTCATGTACAAACCAGACAACATAAATATAAATATACCGACGAAGTCATTTTTCATTAAAATATCACCGTACTCTAAAAGAAAACAAAAGTATACAGGAATCACAGCAAGACTCGTATATGAAGCTAAAGCTTCTGCAAACTGGGGAGCTAGATTATCGCCAATGACTACGCGTTAGTAATATTTTATTTCTCGATTGGCATTATTCATGAATAAAATAACCTTAAGCATTTCTTTTAGCTTTTTATTAAAGAGAGAATGCTCCTTAAGGCCGGTAAAAATAACGTTCTGGGCCCAGTTGTTCGAAGGCCGATAAGCGCTAACCTGAGGTTAAATTTTAATCCAGGTTTCAATTGTTTTGTGTTCAAAAGCCGATTCTATAAGATAATTTTCACTGCTATTTTTAGAGCTTCCAATCATCAACTTGTAGACAAAAAGAATTAAAACTGAAGTCCTTTTAAATCTTTCAAATCGGAATTCAAATCTCGCGCTAACCCTGGGTTATCTTAACCGAAACCAGGCCCAGGTATTTACTTCGATTGAGCATTCAAGTCTCACCTTTTTCTGGACTTCCAGAGATCAATTCTGTTATGTACCTTTACCGATGTTACCAATCAATCAAAAGGAGTGCCACTTACCCCAGCAAGCGGTTGACAATGGTACCAGGGTTTTTCATTGCCGACCATGTTTGAACATGGTCGGCGATGGTCACGTGACCGTGGTCTGGGATCATGGTGTGTTATCAGCTCTTGACCTTGGTACATTGCCAACCGTGGTTGCAAAGTAAATTTCTGTTTTGTACTAAATCAGTGAAAGCACATAACAAGATAACTACGTTTCTGCGATAAACTCCAAGATTACGAAAAAAATTCCGCTTTAATCCCTTTTTTTTAAATTAGATATTACAGTGAGTCAAGACCACGGAACTCCGGCCATGTTCGACCATCTCCAATCCTTGGTCAGACACGGTTAATGGAAATCAGTTCTTGACGATTTTTTTCTTAAATCATTTTTTAGGCACAGGCCAAAAGCAATCCATTGATAACATTTCAAAACATTTTTCCATTTTCTCGATTAAGAAATTGACATCTCGATCTTAAACTCTTGTTTTTGTCTCCAAGCTGTTGTTTAAATTATACAATAACGGTAATCTCTCGGCCTTTGTCTAACAAAACGACTCCTTAGACTTGAAAGAAGCCGTAGCAAAACACATTATTTCGAAATCACCCTGAAATTAATTGGAGGTTATTTCCAACTCATAAACAAGCCCCTTTGGTCAGCGGGTGGTTAAAAGCAACGAATTTAAATACTTCCCTGAATGTCGCAACTCATGCGCCTTTTTTATATAATTTAAATTCATACTTAGCTCTGAGGCTGCGGAGAATACATAAAACAAAAGAAAACTCATTGAGATTCAGGGATTAGTAATTAACAATTATTGGACAATTGGTTTGACCAAAATATCGTGATTTGTCAGTGGCGAATAGATCAATAATTGATGATCTGCGAGGCACTGACAATACACCATATTTTGCGATAACCGAGTAAAGTAAGGTAGAGTAACAGAGATCAAGCTTAGCAGTAACGCGAACACTGGGCGCACAAAGTAGTTACCTAGGCATAGGGTATGCGCAAAGTAATAACGTGCACATGGGGCATGCGCAGTTAGTGACATTAACAGTACGCGTTGAACTTAATAGGGAACACACAAGGCAAAGTCATGTTTATTAAGCGGTACAGCTCACTCTGGGGAGTAGAATAAGAGACGGGCGGCTGGGATAGGGAAATATGCAGATTTGTAAAAAACACATCATATCGACCACTGATCACTAAACCAAATTTGCTGTAATTTCATCACTTATTTCTCAGAGTAACGAGACTCTATCATTCATTTCTGTTTCATTCATTTTCTGTTACAATCTAACATTGAAAGTATCATCGAGGCGATAAAGACATTTGTAATCTATCACAAAAGAAGGTCTTCAAAAACTAACCTGTTATAACTAAGTATTTAGATCAAATAAAAGCCAACAAAACCGTTGACTTCTGTTCTGTTAAAATTGCAGTTCTCACACATTAACCCTTCTATTCTGGGATGAAACCTTTGAAACCATTACTTTAATCCTCCTCCCAGATGCCAATACAGCGTAAAAAACAGAGCATGCAGTGCATCTTGGAAAGAATGGTAACAGAAGTGCTACCCCTCAGACTTTTTCCAGAGTATTTTTGTTTTCCAATATGGCGGAGATAGCAAAGAAAACCCACTGAGCTATGAGGGCATGGTGCATTCTTGTCTTTAACACCATGAGCGCATTGTAAGAGCAACATGGAACAATGGAAAGGGATGAGTCAGACAGTGTTGTTTTTGCAGTTAAAAAGACTAATTCTTTGAGAGTACAAGGACTGATGAACTGAGCAAATGCCGGCCATAAATTGACAGTCTATTCCACGCTCTACGATACATGAGGTATAAAACATAGAAGCTAAGTGATATAAATAGAAGACTATTTTCAATTCTCTTTTTTGTCCTTCCAAAGTCCAGCTGGAAGTTCTCAAAGTCTTCATTTAAAGAAGTTTCGTCCAATAGTGGCTGTAGAATTTGACGAGCTGTATTTACTCGAAAAAGCGTCGCAAGAAGTACTCCCCTAAATCTGTCATCGCTGTGTTTCTTGGACGGAAACTATCCTTACATCACACCTCGTGTCCCTTCTTGAGAATCTTTATTCAGTTATTTCTGCATTAAAACGGCTGACTTTTCAAGTCAATGGAGAAAAACTGATTTTAATTATGAGCCTCACGTTGAAACTTGATATTACAAAATTGCCCTTAAAGTATAACCTTTCGGCAATTCTTTTTTTATGGAAAAAGAAGAAAAATTGCATCAATGATCCTTAAGAACAAACTATATCAACTAGAGAAAAGCAAGATGAAGATGTTTCTCGCCCCTCAATGAGAGTAATTTGTCGAGAAATTTATACCAGGGCGTCGCCTTTTCGAGCAAATACAGTAAATAAAGTGAAATTATTTGACGGGTTTCATCCTCTCTTCAGTGGATTTTATGATCTATACAAGCGGACATATCCTTTATCAATTTGTTTTCTAGTTAAATAATTATGAATTCCTCAATATGTTACAGTAGCAAAATATTTTTCACTTCGTTGAAGAGAAATGGTTCACAAATGGTACAAATTTTACAAAATGTAAATGTATCTTTTCGACTGAAAGACCAACTTGGAGTATTTTTTTTTTTTCACCTTATGTGAAAGATTGTTGGCAGTGCCATTCGATTGATATTCGTATTAGGCACATGCGTAAGAAACACACAAATACCATGTGGGACTGATGTTATACCGCCTGTGCAATTGGCAATTTGCGGCTTATTAAACAGACACATGCTACAAAAAGCCAAACTGAAAATTAAACAATGCAGTGGGACCTTGAAAAGAGAAAAAATTGATTTTAGGTGATGATAATTTATCGTTTTTCTTGTCCCACTGCATGTTTTTGTCATCAGCAAGGGTTTTTCCTCGGTCCCATATGACTGCTTAGCTGGAAAGAGCCCGTATAGAGCTTTAAACAGTAACAAAATTAATTACTGGAAAATAACACGCCGATATTTCGTAGAAACACCAATGTTTAAATTATCATAATCTTGGAATCTTCCTTGGTTCTCGCCTATCTGCCTTTTACTATTGGTGATGTTTGAGTTAAGGAAACTTAAATTAATTTTTCCAGGTTATACTGGCTGTGCGCATATATAATGTCGTAGTGGTCATGTTACCGTACACAAAGTAACAAATTTAATTTCTTTGGGAAATGATCTCTTTTCTTGCACAATTATTTCTTGTTATTTGGGTCCACTAACGTAATGTCAGGTGACTTTGATGTCACGTGAATACGTTCTACTCACAGATTTCCATACCTTTCTTTAACTTTGAAAAGAAACTTTTCTAGATGGATTGGTCTGACTTCCTTGTGACGTCAACGTTATGTCGTCACTGTTGAAATAGTAACCCTTGGGTTCCAAAAATGTTATGTTCCGACACTACGTGACCATTGTTATTTCTCCAATGTGGAGCTCGATGTGTTTCTGTAATACACCTGCAGTGTAAATTTGCCTTCTCCCCAAGTTTGGACTCGAGCCAATGCAGGTATGATGTATTCCCGTTTGATAGCAGGACTTAGATAATCAGTGACCGGACTACCGAATACATCTGAATGAAAATGCCCTCTTTGAAATCAGTCAGGCTACCAAGGAGGTGCGGAGTATGTGCGTTGCTTGCAAGGTGAGGTCTTTCAACTTCAAAAGTATGGTGATAATACCACCAGCTCCTTTACCACCACCGAGAGACCAGGCTCTTATGTACGCCACGTCTATGACAAATCAAGGGAAGCTAGGACCACTAGCTGGAATTTTCTGCTACAATTAAATTCTGAATGGTTCTTGTGTTGGCTGCCACTGTTATTTAGTAGACGGCAAAATCGATATTTTTTATTTTAACCTACAAACCAATTTACAAATACAGCCTCCTCCTGCCTAATTTTGAGTTCTTTATTTGGATCTTAAGGTGCATTCCGATTCACGTCAAAGAGTCGATGTAGTTGGTGTAGTTCACTTACCAGACAACTAAATCTCAACTTCGACGAACTGCAACTCGGAAAGTGCACTCTAGGGTGAGACAAGACGTCATTCCACAAATTTGGAAGCGTCAGTACAGAGAATACAGTGTTCATCATAACATATTTGAGCAAGAGGCCTTGGACTGAGCAAAGTGTCGCAGACCTATCAAGAGTTGTGATTCACTCGAACCTCCACTGACGGCCACCTCTCCACAAGTCGCCCACCTCTCTACAACGGCCACTTGTTTTGCACACAGCACACAGTCCATACTTTGACTCTTGTTTAAACCACCCCACAACGGCCACCTCTCTACAACTGCCACTCTCTTTTGTCCTCAAGGTGGCCGTTGTGGAGAGGTTCAACTTTACTAAAAGCAGACAGGCCAGAAGAGTCCGGCCAGTTTATTAAACCACCATCAGTTTCCTCGGCTCTTCACACGCTGCAAGAGAACTTTCTGGGTAAAGATTGGCTTGACTAGTCACCGTTAATCTCTCACAGGAGCCTTTAAGCTCCACCTCCTGGGTGACTAGATGGCTTTGTCAACCAAAAGACGAGAATAAAAAAATAATCTAAAAAATCTGAACTCAAATGATCCCACAATTGAAAGCTGGGCTGTTATTCAAAATATAAAAACTCTGTTGGGTAGATATCCAAATCACTGATTAACTAAGTCCTGAATATATACTACGTCCGATCTCTCCGCAAATCTGTCATTGACGAAACTGAATGGACAGGACTTCGGACTGCCGATCTTCTTTGATATTTTATCCGTCCTGGGTTATTATCGTTGTTGTTATGTACTTCCTGTTCATTCTCTCCGTCCTGATCGTCTTCAACGAAGGTCTCGTTCACAAAATTCGCATCTTCTGAATTTAGCGTCACTGTTAATGTCGGTTTAACAAATCTCACCGAGTTTTTAAGTGTCCTCTTCACCGGGGTACCCGGTCTCCCGGCGGTGCCGGGTCTTCCTGAAGTGCCGGGCCTTCCCGGGCTCCCATTTGACATATTCTCATTCCTTTCACGTGGTTTTATAGAAGCAATCACCTGGTCAATGTCGTCCATTTCAAACTCATCACTTTCCCGGTGAATTATACTTTGGCTTCTGTTAATCTCCGGCGGTTCTACAAAGCCTGTGAAAGCTTCAGATAGCTCTGGTGGGTCCACTGTAAGTGTGTTTCCGTAGTGAGGAGGACTCTTAGGAGGGGTATCTATAGTGGTACTCTGAGTACTGGTATGACTTTTTTTCCTGTCGTCCAGTGGAGGGCTATTGACCACGATCATTTCTTCACTGCTTCGGGTACGCACTGGGTAGGAGATTCGGGGTGTCATACCTCCAGCGTACAAAGATGACCGCGCCCGTCGGGCCCTGGGAAAAAGGAGACAACAGTACAAATGATGTTTAATTTTTCACTAGGGCCACGTGAAGTCCAGGCCCAAGTTGTTCAAAAGGTGTTTAGCGCTATCCACTGGATGACGCACCTGGTTTCCCAAATCCATATCTGTTGGATAGTGATTTATTTGGTGGATAGCGCCAGAATATCGTTCTAACAACCGGGGACAGAATGCTAAACACGAACAGAAGTGGTCACAAAACGTTTGTGATAAAAAGAAGCCTGTTGACCTACCTTCCACGATAAGGATGGACTTTAGCATCTCCTCCCAGGGAACCATTGGCAACTGGAAAGGTTTTGCCTGAATCCCGCCTATCTTCAACCAAATCCGTACTGGCCATATCTTCACTTGGTCTTGCGGACTGCAACAATAGGGTATTAGCAGCACCTACCATGAGCCTCTTCGATTTCTTGGGAAGTTTCATTTGCGCCTGCGCGTGAGAATAGTACAACGAGAAGTTGTTACCGATAATTGAGATTGGAATAGCAGTTATAATAATAGATAGTGCCGCACACAGAGAACCAAAGAGCTTCCCAAGTGGAGTAAGGGGCGCTGTGTCTCCGTAACCCACAGTGGTAATAGTGATGATAGCCCACCAAAAGGACTCTGGTATGGACCCAAATTCTTCGGCATTTTTATCCTTTTCCGCGAGATACGCGCAGCTGGCAAAGATAATCACAGGAACAATCAACAGAAGAACCAGCAGCATTAACTCGCGAGAGCTTGCTATCATTGTCTGCTTGAGAATCTGGAATCCCAGATTTACTTTGAAGAATCTGAACAGACGTAACAGCCTGCAGATTGCCAGAATATCGTACGTAAGACTCGTTGCTCCAAGTGGGTAGTCTTCCGTTGTTAAAATACGTATGTAAAATGGCCAAATAGCGATAAAGTCAACCCAATTCATTATTTGCTTGACAAATTCATGTTTGCTTGGACAAGTTGCAAGTCTTAGTGTGAACTCGATTGTAAACCAGACACCGCATACACCTTCAATAATGACCATGGCCAAACGGGCAGACGGATTGTTTTTCACCTCTTCGATAGTTTGTACGCAATACGCCAACACCGATAAAATTATAAACATCAGCGATACAAAGAACGTAAACTGCAAAAAGAGACAAAACTGAGAGTTAGTCTTCTCGTAGAAACGATCCAAGGTTGGAGGATACACTTAGATTTTGTTTATGAACAACGCGCCACTCAATAACTCAAACACGCAGAATTGTACTCTTGCAAATGATGCTTCTTTAACTGCTTGACAGGAAGAGTAGAATATAATAAAAAAGCTAAATCTTTTGGAGCTTAGCTTCGTCAGGGGCACCCAACGGGAATATAGTTCAAAACCACTTAAACATAGTATTGTTAAACGTATTTGATATTTAAACAGTAGATATAGGCATATTTTTATCCCCTAAAAATTTTTCATCTGTTCGGATTTCCTAGCTGAAAGTCTAGTGATCCGAAAATTATGGGGATCAAAACTTACCTTTTCGAAAATTTCAGCCAGAAAAAAGGCTCCCGAAAATTCTAGGTGACTTTTTTAGGGTAAAAATCGGTTAAAATGGGCAATTATACCATTTTTTAGATGTTCGAAAATCCTAGGAGAGGCAGACAAGCAAGAAATTTTGCAACAAATGTTCCGAAAATTCTAGAACTCAAATCGTCTTCCGAACAGATATTTTCCGAAAATTGACGTTGGGTGCCCCTGCTTCGTCTTGTTGTCCAGAATAACAGAGACTGCTTGAGCCAACAACCTGGTTGTAATGGATATTCAACATCCCCGGGGGAGGATTCTTTCCGATTCAGTTGGAATTGAAACAGCAAATACGTTAATTCACTCCCTAAGTTCCTTGAGTGAAATCATACCCGATTCCAGACCAAAATGGGCAAAATCTATACCGTTTTCAGACCGAATAAACGGCGCACAAACTATACCCTTTGGGGCGTCACATCTCTGTATGGCTTATATAAGGGAGTACTCCCCCCCCCGGGTTCAATGCGACGGAAAAATAGCTATGGTCAAGGTCGATCATAGGGAATCCTAACACAAATTAGGAACGTTACTTATCACAGTGCTGACCCATAAAGGCAGGGAAACGAGAGAGAAAAACAGGGGATAAATGAAAAATGCAGAAGGAAAGGTTTGCTGGAATACGAAGGCAAGGATCTATTGAACTCATCGACTGTGAGCGGTGCACTTGTGCCTTTTTCCACCAGCTCGATGCTGAAAGAATGGAAAATGTTTTTATAGGCAAGCATTGAATAGGAGGCAGGACTAAGTGAGCCAGTTATATCGAGAAATAATATGTATTGTTATATAGCTGGATATTTTTTTCCAACAGCGCGCTTCCTCGATGGCCATTACTTCGAGGTCACATGACATCTAACAAACAAACTGTTTCCCGCCAAAATCTCTGAGCCGGCAACATTGCAAAATTTATGACGTCAGAGGGTAACAGTACACTGTTACCCGCGAATGTTGACCGACGACGGCCATTACAGCGAGGTTTAATGAATTTCTAGCCTCAAAATTTCCCGCTAAATAACAAATCACTTAAAGACTGGTCCCTCGGGAAACAGTAAATTTTGTTTCCCTCGAGACAAGTCATTTTAAAAGTGTTTAACGTGGTCGATACGTTTGGTTTCCATTTCGAAGTTCGATGCTTCCTGTAGATTTGCACAGGTGTCTGTGGCGAGCATGACGATGTAGAATTTTACACGTATTGAAAAATGTATCAGGAAGTACCAACAGCGGTGGGATTTAAAGGAAAAAGAAGTTGTTTTCATTGTTCACATTGTTATTAATGAGTTGATAGATGACAATGGCGATTTAAAAGAGTTGTCAGAAAGCGAGGAGAAAAATAACTAAAAAAAAAGTTCAGCAGCAACCCTAGTTCCTGTTCTGTTCATTACTAACCCATATACAATTTATATGGTACCGTCAATCGTCCAAACACTATGGAAATTTTTTTTTTTTACACCACTCTTTTACAGATTTTCAGACGAGTTTCTGTGTTGCCATGCGACGGCTTTTTAATCCCATCCTACAAGGCATTTGCTACTATAACCATATGAACATTTTACAAGACTGTGGCGAATTATTATCGCGAAAATCGACCCTGTCGAGCTAAAGCACTTCACATGAAGAGAACGTTAAATTTGCCCTCACTTAACTTGGGTGACACTTCCTTCAACGTTACTCGAATGAACAGATATCTTTTTTTTCAAAAAGAGTGTAAAATTGAGCGTTGCTAAAATAACAGAGCAAAATTTATTCAGTTTATTCGAAAATCGTTGTAATGTCATTCACGTGTATTTTGTTGCTATTTTGACTAGAGCTGTTGCTTTTAGCAATGAAACTAATACATTTTTGGTCAAAAAGGCTGCTTTTATTGACCACTTGATACACCGCAATTTAAATTGATTTCATTTAATGCACAATTATTCCATTTGAACACCATAAGGTGAAAATTGTCTCCATAAAAATCTCTGTATGACCTTTTCATGTTTGTATTCATTTCTCAAAGAAGTTACGTGCACGTCATTTCCAAACTCCTTTCTTCGAATTAAATTTAGACAAATATAAATGTGGTATCGCATGAACATGCAATAACGCCTTATCTCATAAACCTTAGTATCCGTGAGCCGTGTCTGTAAGAATCAGAGGTAGTCATGAAGACCGCCCTTTTTAAACTATTTATCTTTTCGCGATGAAAAATTAATTTCTTTAATTTTTTTGGCCTCTGATAGAAAATAAGCTCAATGCGAGTTGCACTTAATTGGTTTTGAGCAAGGCTATAAGGGTAAGAATCAATCTCAGTTCAGAAAGAGCACTTTGAGTACAGCAACAAAAAAAACACAATCTGTTAAGTTGAATTATACCTCTTGTTTGTTGTAACAATTGAATCATTTGAATTGACATTAGTTATACTTTTCGTGCACATTTATGTTCATAAAAGCAAAAAAAAAACATATGTACAGCCGTACAGACTATCACCGGCCAAAACAAAACAGCGAAGACTGAACATATCACATTTAAGCCGCAGTGGATCTCTCCCTCAACTTCTAAGTTATTTTAAAGTGCGTGTACAGTTTTTAAGACATTAATTTAAACATAAATGTTTAAGCTCTTGGTGTAAGCTTTGGGTATGCAGATTTTAAAAAAAATATTTAAAGGTAACTCAAGATCAACAGCGATACGTTTATAAAATTATAAAAGCGAATGACGAACAGATGTTTTAGTGAAGTCATAACAAAACAGAAAAAATATTACCGCTAGTAAAATGGACAATTATTAGGAGCCATTGAACTGCCCAATTTTATGGCAATTCAGCTTTTTCGAAAAAACCAACAGAATAACTAGAGACCGAGACATTTTTTTACTGAAAATATGTTTAAGAATCATGGTGAATTTGAGCTTCTTTTACGCAGTCCTCAGGCTGTGTATCCTCAGTTAACTTCCTGGCTATCGATCAACAACATAATTTTCTCAATCGTTCCCAAATAGCCGTATGAAATCATGACGCCAAACCAACTTAAGTTCCCTAAATCTTCCCCATTTATTTTTAAAACTAGAGATGCCATTTCTTTTAACAACGCGATACCTCGAATTAACGCATAAACAAATGCCATTTTTTTAAGGCAGAGAAGAACTAAAAGAGTCCGATCGTTAAACACTAAATCATAACTGTCTGTAATGGGGTTCACTTTTACAATACATCATTCTCTAGTTTTACTTATGGTTTAACTTACTTTTGCCAATCTAGACGATCGTTGGTGTTCCAATACTTTCCAAATCCTTGGTTTATATTTCTGCCAACATGATTCCTCACCACCTAAATTCTCGACTTGACTATCCGACATTACATCACCAAGCTCTGAGTCGTGGTCGTAATCTTCTTCAGCCGACATCTCCGCCGCTTCAAAGAATTTTAAGTTCTCCTGTGCCTCTCTATGTTGCGTATAATACGTCCAACAACAGGGCTCCATCTGTTTTTCATCGATTCCCCAAAAAGCGAGCTCCTCTTCAAATAAAGGACCACAGACATCATGCGGACTATGCAACTTGCCGGTACGGTAGTAGTTTATTATGGCTGCGAATACTCCTGGATGGCGATCGAAAAAAACTTCGTTCTTGTCAGGATCGTAATCATTGGCAATATTTTGAACGTTTTCGGTGCACCAGGCGAGCCGAGTGCTCGGAAAGTTTCGAAGAGTACTCCTGTATGTTTCATGGCGGACCCCACCGCAATTAATAATTATGCGATCCCGTTTCCTAAGAGCTTGTAGATTTTCCTCCGTTTCCTCGGACATATTTCATTTACTTTCGCCTTGCCGCATTATCATGTTTCCTTTTGCCTCGTGGCTCCCCTGATAAGATACAGATAACGTGGTTTATTTATGGTTGGCTTTGACCAAGCATTAGCTCCAAATGTAACATCTTTAACCGCAGAAAGAAGCCCCAAAAGACGACGAGGATTGGTATACCACGCTTGCACAAACTTCGTATGGTAATTTCAAATATAAACACACCGCGAAGCTTCGGGTTGTAAATTGAAATCCGCGTATTTTCCTCTCTCCGTTTTTTGTCTATTTTGACAAACTTTTTATTCGATGGTCACCTCTGGGCCTCTTTTACTTTCATCCAGGAATATCATCTTCTAATTTTTATTGTTGCTCTGTTTTGATAAACGTTGCCGAGGAAAAAGTGGTTCTCACACAGGATAGGTTAGGATAAGCAATTTGTGGGGTGATATTACAAAACACTCACATTCTCCTTCCACCTGCAGTAGTATTAATATTCATGATGCTATTGGGTGATTGCCAATTAGAAAGTTTAATAAAAACGCACGTCGGAGAGGATCGCTCGAGTCATTTTATTACTACAAGAATGGTTTCTCGCACGCTAGTGTCAGTTCTCAGCCAATCAGCCATGCGAATGCTGAGAATTTCGCATCAGTTGACGAATCGCTCTCCTCTGAATGGTTAAAGTTCATATTAACATTCAAAAAGGACCCAAATGGTGTTATGTAAATTTGTTCTTGGAAACGGTCGCAATGGAAAATAAATAAGAGCGCTTGAATGCAACGACAGCGCAAAAATTAGATTCGCACAGAAAGATTTTTTTCTTTTTAGATTCAGTTTAAGCAATTCAAATGCGAACTGCCAGATGGTTTTTTTTTCGACGAATCAAGTGTTGTTTGATTGGTATTTTTAAAAATCTTTTATTGCAAATCTAAATTTCCTCAGTTTTCTCGGATTGTTCGTCTTTATAAAATATACATACGCCTTTAGCACAAACCACAGTTTTAAATCGCAAGACACCCTAAACGACTGTTTTCTACTTCTTAAGCTCATCTAAACCGCTATGTGTCTTGTAGTCAACACTTGTCAATCATTTCTTTTGGTGACCGTTTCATTGCCTGAAAATAAATGAAGCTTTTTCATTGTGTTCTATTCAGCATCTCCGCCATATTAGTGACCTTAATTTCAAGTTCAGAAAATCCGTCATTATTTGGTAAAGGTCAATTGGAGACACTGATAGGTTGCAATACGCCCAAAACGAACACGTTTTCATAAACAACGAAATAAAATCGAAAAAGGATGACAGGCGGTAGATTAGTTGGATATTCAATTTCAAAATGCAAGACATGAGTTCGTTTTGTCAACATGGCAACGTGAATAATATAACCTTATTTTCAGGTTTTCTGCCTTTGTGCTTTTGTCGGGCTGTCCCATTTTAGCTCCAGACGGGTGTAATGACGTTACAATTTGTAATTTATATGAGACGAGGCGAACGTAAAAACATTATTGCATACATTTTATTTTTATTCAATGTGGGATGATAAATGTAAATTGCTGCTGAAAGCCAGGGTGTCAAGTTTCATATTTAACGAAAAACGATCTTATTTCCACCTGTCCTTTCTTAATATATTAGGACGCTAAAACTCTGTAATCCTTTAGAGCGAGCAACCAGAACGTAATTTCTCCTTGAAACAGCTCTGGTAATCAAACGTGAGGGCCGCCAGAATGAAAATCAACCACCACCATAGATAAAAATATTCTTATTTTACAACAAATTAGTATGACTTTACAGACAGTGAACATTAACGACATTTAACAATGTAGCATTGCAACAACTCAAAATATCTATTGCTCTAGCGCCATTAGGAGAAAGAGGACAAAAACTAGAACGAAAATATTTTAAAAAACGTCGATGCCGAAATGAAGAAAGCGGAAAAACATAGTTACAAATTTTAACTTAATACAAAGTATTCGTTTAATTCGCTCATCGACATAAATACCTTTCATGATTCTCGAAACTTAAAAAAAAACGTACCCAAATGGGATGAAGGTTTAAAACTCCCATAGTGTTTAAACAGTTGTGAAAAGATTGACAATTTACTTAAGATTCTAAGACCCTGTAAGAGGCTCTACACTAATAAACATTTATGAGATATGACTCTTCTTCAGACCATTGACGTCATTCCAAATTGCGACCATCTTTCATTGCCTCCAGCATTTTGCTAAGAGCTTAAAAAGTGAAGCATTTTTCATGCTTGAGGACATAAAAACGTTATAATTTCTCTGCTTTTTTACCCTAAAGAGTGAGATGAAGTCTCATTTTTGTTCAAATGCTTCTTATGACGTCACATTTTATGACGATACCAACTGGCGGTCACCAAAGCAAATATTGTCAAAATGTGACTTCAAATTGCTGAAATTAATTAAGAGGTACAAGCGTAAAATAATTTTACTACAATGATCTTACCTAACCAGTAAAATAGATACTGGTGAATACGCGGTATCATACTGTAATTTCATTGCTTTTTGTTTTTCGCCCTATGCAAGGCAATCCAACAAGGCAGTCTTGGATTCTGGATTCCATTTAATGGCCTCCAGTCTTTGTCGGTGGACCTTGAATCACGGATTGTAATCGTTAGTGGGATTCCGGATTCTACGAGAAAAAAATGTCCCAGATTCCGGAATCCCGGAATATCAACCTCGTTCCCAGGTTCTCTCTCCTACCCGACTCTCTCTCTCGCTCCGCAGAGACGGGTAGGAGAGAACCGTGGGAACTAGGTTGGGATATATTTGGTATTTGGCACTAATTATACATAGTGTTAATTTCGACGGGTTAAGTAAAATCACTCGAAAAATCAAAATAACCTCTCGTGAAAAAGTCTTACCAGGGGCTCATGGAAAGATTTAAAATAACGTTTACGGCAAAAGGCAAACAGCAGATTCTAGTTGACAATATTTACTCGAATTAGGAAATGAGCAGACAAAAACTGTCCATACTATACCTAAGCCTAAACATGCAAGCTTTTCGCTGTCAAAAAGAAAGCGTATATACGATTAATGTACACAGTTTACAATGGAGATTTTATCAAATTAATGTCATGCATACAAAAGGTCACTCATTCCTTGTGTCGAAATGATAAGTTCTTTAAGGGTTCACAAAAACCTTGATTTTTGACGTAACTGAGTCACTGGAAAATGCAAACATTGTGAATGGACTACAAATACACATTGAAGTTAGGATGACAAGGGCATTAAATTTATTTTACTTGCAAATCGGATCCGTGAGTTAATTTTTTTGTCTGCGAGGCTCTAAAACAATGATGCTGTTATTGGTTTTACTCTAAAATTAAACTGGTGCACTCAAAAATGAGGCGGAGAAAGCAGGAGTGCATGGAAGAAACCACTAACAAAAAACAAAAGGCGCTCATGCATCAAAAACTACCCACCTTGTGATATCTTTTCCAAAGTCCCAAAGTTTATTGGATATATAGGGAACTGTCATCACTTTATCCGCGGCGAGTAGGGGCACGTTGCTAGGTTTTATTAACCTCAGATCGGCTAAAAGTAACTAAAAAACACCTCGTGTGTTACAACTATGAAGAATCGACCCTTTAAGGACAGACCCCACTGGTGAATAAAAAAGATGATTATTTTAATTTCTCCCCGCTACGGTTTCTATAAAGAGACCTAATTGTTTGAAAGTTTAGGAAACATGGTAATGAAGATTAATTTCGTTTTTTTGGCAAAATATCAGCTGGTTGTATACAGAATTTATTTGGCGTCAAATTCATTTATTTTTTGAAAATTGAAAGCTATTTCCCGTAGTTCTGTCGCACAAATACAGATTCGAAAAATTGACTTTTTAATGTAATTATTAAGCTCGCTCAAGAGACCATAGCCGGGAGATAGATTAAAGCTCCTTATTGTTCTCTTTGCTCGCTGTATCATCTTTTCTATAGGACCACTTTGTTTTGTCGTCATTATTGATTGTGTTTTGGAAGCTTGAAAGAGCGGATCTCAAGTAGATTTTTTCAATTTAGCCTGTATGTAAAGTATTCAGTGGTTGTTTGTTATATCCTCCGGGAGAATTACCCTTAAATTGATTGTATAGTTTTCTTTAATTTGTAAGAAGTTTAGTCTTGTTTCGCCATTCATGTGAGATTGCCCCTTCGGGTTTCAGATGATAATAAGATAAAAAGAAGCCGAATAAACGACCAATCATGCAAAGATTGAAAACTCGATAATCGAATTTCCCCAAATTGATTTGAACCAATTTTGTCTATTGTAAACATTTGAGGTCGAATTTCTTTGCACCGAGCTTTAATTAACCTTATTTTTCTCTACGCGCCGGCAGTTATTAGTCTACGAGAATTAAACTTAATCGAACGTGTCCCGGATGTAAGGGAATCCGGGAAATTTTTGCTTGTGGAATCCGGAATACAGCTCAAGGAATCCGGAATCCCACTAACGATTAAAATCCAGAATCCACTTTCCACTAACAAAGTCTGTAATCCAGTATCAGTTGAATTCGAAATCCAAAACTGTCTTGATCTGAATTCCCTTTCACGGGGCGATGAGTGATGACGTTCAAATCTCTCCAGAACGGGAAACTGAAGAGTTTAGGACTTGGAAAAATGGATTGTGTTCAGTTGATTTTACTTAGTGTTTATGAACAATCTTCTTCTTCCTTCTAAACATATAAAAGGCTTAAAAAGAAGACCTTGAGTGATTACCATTTACAAGGCAAGGCTGGAAATTCAGGTTGGAAAATCAAATGGTTGGCGGTGATTCCGTTGCGAATCTTCAGAAAACGTTAACTGAGATTTGAGGGGATGCAATTTTTCTTTTTTTAGTCTGTTCAGCTGATTTGGATGTACTTTGTAGCGGGTCGCTCTCCCACTGTGTCAAAGTTATAAAGCTTTGTGTTTATACACAAGATTTCCACTCGGGAGGTTTATGTAAATGGTAGGCCCGGGACTGCACCACAGCTTATCTCCACATTCACACACGCAGTGGAATACGAGAGTCCATACTAAGAGCTGAAATTCTCTCATATATCGTTTTAAATTCTAAATTTGACCTCTTAGCGCCGGGGCGGTAGCGTGGGGAGGGGCCGGAGGATCGTGCCTCCCCGCCAGTTTTTTGCCCCAAAAAGTCAAAACATGCACGCATAAAAGTTGAAAAAAACATTTCTGGTTTAAGATACAGAGACCATTCCAATGAGTCCTGTGGACCCAAACCCTCTGCTTTTCAAATACAACGAGCTACCTAAAATCTCTGTGTCTCTCTAGTTTTTAAAGACTTACTACGGCCCTGTTTAGTATCGTTTGTAATTCAGTTATAACACCAGGAATCAGGTAATCAGGTCATATGTCACGTGAGGTCGTT